GCCAACTTATTAGGCTGGTCGTGTAAAAGATTCAATGTTGTTTAACTTTGGTAATTGGACAAGTACCATTAGATGAGAAGTCATAAACCTTAGAAGAAACAGTCAGCTATTATTAATTTTTGACTAGTATTTTTCTCATTGTAATTTACAATGACCTATATTTTGGTGGAAGCTAATTTATACTTTTTCTTAGCTAATTTTTGGACATCAAGTCCAAAAATCAGGTCCATTTTTATATCTCATTAGGCTGTATAGTATATTAATATTTTCCAATAGAATGACTTTGGCTAAATTTCTCAGTCTTTGAAGTCATTTTTCATAATATTCAAATTAATTCTGAGTACTTGCTGGAAAAAAAAAGTTATTGCATTCTTATTTGCCAAAACACTCGATTTTTACATTATTAACGAGTGTAATTCTATTGTTTTAAGTTATGAACTGAAGTGATGTAAAGTCTTTGAAGATAATCACTTTATATAGTCTGCATCAGACTTTTGTGAAAGAAACTGGAGTTTATTTTGGTGATGCTAATGATGAGCAAAATGAAAGATTCCACTAAGACATGAAAATTCTGAAAGAATGGTATTAAGGAAGTTGGCAAAAAAAGAATAATGACTGACTATTCTAGTAACTGAAATGGGACAAATCTACTAAGCATTGATGAAAATCAAATCAGTACAAGTTCTTACCACAACGACCAACTACTCACAGTATTTAACTTTTAATCCCAATGTTTTGTCCACTGTGCCCTTTGACCTTCCTCAGGCATAAATCAATCTGTGTAACCTACAGGGAATTCCTAAATGAACCTATCATTTAAACTATGAGAGTAGACATCACATTCCACTGATTATGTCTAGGGGTATCGCCTTTAGTTCTTATTTTTATTTAGTAGTTCAGTTATTGCTCATCCATTTTCAAGTACACATTGCCTGACCCAGTGATTGAACTCACAACTATTATGTCACCAAATTCACAAACCAATGCTTGTGGGTAAAAGTATAAATGGTGTAAATAATGAGAATTCCTAATCCGAGAAATTCAGACAAAAAAAATAATCATTTATTGTTTTAGATTTCTTTTATATTTCAGTTGCATTTAAGGTTCAAATGTGCATTTATTTTTTCTTCTCATTTACAGTGACTTGGCCCAATTGTGACCATTTTTGACAGGATATGATATTCTGGATCAGGAAAACAAAAACTAATTGTGGAAATGGATGTTATTTTTGGATTCAGCACCCAAAATAGTTCCTAATCAGCCAAAATATCCCATGAAACATTTAAAATAAAATAATATAGGCCTGTGTTATTAATTTAACTCTTATTTCCTTTTGTCTTGATTTTAGTTACTTTTTAGCCCTGATTGCTCAAATGTCTCGTTTTTTATATTATGATAATGCATAATGCATAATGATACCAACAGTGTAACTGTATTGTTTTAAATGAAAACAATATAAATCTCTTGATATAATGTCTTGGATAATGATGTTGTTATTGTATCATTCTAAGTTATGAATGGAAACAATACAAAGTCCTTGGATATGATCACTTTAAAAAGTTTACATCAAGTATTTGTGATAGAAACTGAAATTTGTCAGTGCTATAATTTAATTTGGGTGATGTTAGTGATGAGCAATGTGAAAGATTCCACCAGGACATGAAAGTTCTTGAAGGATGGTATCAAGGAAGATGGCATAAAAAAATGATAGCTGGCTATTCTTGGAACTTTAACCAGACAAATCTACCAGAAGTCACGAAAATCAAATAAGTGAACGTTCTTGTCATGACGACAAATTGTTCTTAATATTTGAAATTTAATCACTTATTGTGTCATATGATTGAGTTTAAGGTTCAAATGAGTATTTTTTTTTTCCTTCCCATTTATAGTGACTTAGCCCAATTGGGATCATTTTTGACAGGATATGATATTCTAGAGCAGGAAAACAAAAACTAATCGTGGAAACGGGTGGTACTTTTGAATTCAGCACCCAAAAATTGTTTAAAATTAGCCAAAAGATCCCATGCACCATTTCAAAAACATTTTTGTAGGTTTGTGTTATTAAAGTCAAATCAACCTGAGAAAAGGAAAAACATTGAAATAAAAGAAAATTGAAATAAAAATATTCTAAATAAAGATTATTAGCCAGGAGGTATTGAGGTTCATTTAAGAATTTGAAAACTTCTTTTTCTTATTTTTTAATATTTAAAATAAAAAGAAAATAAAAGAAAAATAGATAAAAGAAGATTTTATTTTAACATTTTTACAATAACTAATTGCATAATACAATAAAAAGTGTCTTCAAAAAATAAAGAAATTTTATTTTTAAAAGTTGGATATTTGGATGTTAGCAAACTGTTTCAAACATAAAATGTTCTTTTCTGTTTAGGTTTCGTAAAAAACTTTGCATGACAGAAAACAAGATATTAGCAATGAAAACAAAACAGAAATTATTTAAGATATGAATAGGTGATGCTCCTTACCAAAATATGGAATCAATGCAGTATAATACATGTATAACAGTGATTATGAAATTTTCTTCCAATAATTTTTTGCTTGTAATGGAGAGAGGAAAAAAAAAAATGATTACATACATCATGGCTTCTGACAAGATTATACAGAACTGAGAATCAAGCTTGCCCAACCTGGGCTTTTCTTTCGAGATCAAACAGAACTTTATTTGAAGGATATGGGAAACAACCTGAGTAAAAATCAAAGAATATAGTTGCCAAAATATAAAAAAAAAAAAAAAAAAAAAAATAAGGATAGTGGTTCTTATGTGGAAAATGTAGTGGTTAAGCAATAGAAGAGAGAAATAATAAATGGAGGGGGGGGGGGTTAAGTCAGATTTTAGGATTCATTTATTTAAAAAACAAAAATAAACCCTGATTGTATTTTAAGCTTATGTAAATTTTAATGAAGATATTTGCTAATCCTTCAAGGTTAAAAGATAAATGTGCCCCCAAGTGTCACATGATTACAATCCAAGAGCATCTTAATTACCTTCAGTAGCATTGTATTTTAATAGCATTATCACCCATTACATGAATAGTAGAGACAGCAGAAATCTACAAGTTTTGGGGACTTCTGAAACATTTACAAATTTGTAGATTTCCAAATGCACATCTCGTACGCATTAAGGAGATTAAATATCTGGTATGGCAGATCTGGAAGAAGATCTGCATAAAGTCCAGACAATTGACAAAGTACACAGCTGGAGAGTGAGGAAGTTGAAAGTAGTAGATATCAGATAAACTTGAAGCTTGTACAAATTTCAACACTACATGGATTTTCTTTGTTGGTTGCCACTTTAGTCACATGTAAAAGAAATTTTTTTTTTCTCCTGTACAGAATATATACATGATAAGGACTGAATGGATTAGCCAAAATGTATCGACAATATCACGTACACAAATCAGTGATTTATCTGCACAAAATTTGTAATATTAATGACTTAATAATAACCACGAACACCATTTTGGGAGCAGCAATATGTTATAGAGGGAAAATAGTATCAGTGGAATTTTTTTTTTCTTTTATAAATCTAGAATTTATATTTTAATTTTTATAATAGCAGATTTTCTGGTAGTTATAAATGGATTCAAGTTAGAGACAATAGTGTACGTAAGCTTTCTTTGTAGTTTTTGTTGCTTCTTATCAAAGTGATCATAATGTATTGAAAAATAAAGAATCCACTTCTGTTGAAATTTGAATCCAATTTCCTTCAAAGCTTATAATTTATTGCTGTTACCAACTTAATGATTGGACAATGGTAAAAAAAAAGCCCCAAAAGTTTTACATATATGTATATACACACATGTTCGAAGTGCACGGTAGAGCAAAGACACTTTAAATTGCACTTCAAACATAGGTATATGCATATTTATTAATATATATTTCTTAGCTCTAACAACATTAAACACTGTTTTGTTCACATTTTAATTGAGTAAATATTTATTCGCTTACTTGTGTATGCACGCTAACACACATATATATGGTTGATAATATCTAGTTATTTGATTTATCCACATTAATATATATATATATATATATATATATATATATATATATATATATATATAAAAAAGCTTGCCTGAAAATTTTTAGTAATAAAAAAAAAAAAAATAAATAAATATATGGTTAAATAAAGAAAATAAAAAGTTTCTGAGAAAGATGCAAAAAAAAAAAAAAAAACAAATACAAAAGGTAAAAGAATAAAGTTTCACTCTAAAATTTGAAATAAAAATTTTTTTAAAAAATAAAAAAAAAAGTAAAGCTCTAACATTTAAAGAAAAAGATTAAATAAAATCGTGGGAAAAAACAAAAACTCAGAACTATAAATAAAAAAATGCTCTGAAAATTATATATATATATATATATATATATAAATAAATAAAAATGAAAAAGTTAAAGGTAAAAATACTGATACTATTTGGAATCCAGAAATCTTTGTGCAAAAATCTATCCATGCAAACGAAACAGCTGCTTATGGCCAAATGATAAACAAAATCTACTAAAAAAAATATAAACAAATTAAGAATCATTACAACTGCAATGCTATTAAAAAATAAGAAAAAGCAATAACCTCAAATAGATCAATCAATTGATGCAGCCCATAATCAATTAAGCTTAAATACTTTTCAGGAGTGAGGAGGTATTTCTTAAGTTTTAAAAAATGTCTAATTCAAAAGATATTTCAGTTTCCCATCCCAACCAGCTCCTTTATCATTTCCTTGATCTTCTAATATTTAAATTTTTTTCTAAAATAAAAATGCCACAAAAAAAGTAATTTTATGGAAATGAAGTAAAATTAAAAATCAATTTTTAGTCTCACTTTAAAAAAATATTTTTAGGACCAAACATCAAAAATACTGATTTTTGGAAGTGAGTTGAGCTGAAAAATTTTCAGCACAGCTGAAGAGTGTGTGTGTGTGTGTGTGTGTGTGTGTGTAGGGAGGCACGTAAAAAAAAAAAAAAAAAAATTAAATAAAATCCTCTTTCTAATTTTTCTTTTTGTAGATTTTGGTTTGAATTTGTCTTGGGTCTTGTGTGTCAACCAAATCATCTGTTTCATCCTCTTCCAAAACTTCAGGTAGTACTTTATCCCGGGCTACTCTTGCTATCTAGAAAAGAAAAGAACACAAAAATTAATTTGGTTTGGTGTGGTCCCAATTTTTTTTTTTTTTTTTTTTTTTTTTTGCAATATTCGATTTTTACAGAAAAGAGGGTAATGTGTGAATATACAAACCTATGAAAAGAGTTAAGTCCAATACAAACAATTTTATAAAATTTCCTTTTAAATCCTATATACAAGTTCATCTTCAGGGAGTGGGTAGTTATGGCTCTCCACAACTTCTTATCCTTTGTAGGTTTTAATAATGTCTTTATCACCTCTTCTATTCCCTTGTTATACCATGCATTTATACAAACTTATTAGTTAAGTTATTCACGGTTTCCCCAGTCTCTCATCCAATATATATATATATATATATAATTTCTACAACAAATACTGAGAAAAGAGGTCTTGGAGAATTTGACACTCACTGATATACTAAAGAGGGGCAGATGCAAATAGTGGGTAGCCTACTAAACAAGTTTATGTAATTGGATGTTAGAACAGAAAGGGGGAATGATAGCAAATGAAATTGAAATTTGCCTCTCTCTCTGGCAACAACCACTGGTTAACAGGAAAATAGTATAAGTTAGTTGGTTGAAGTCATTTTATAATGCCTTCCGGATTGAAATGGTATTGTATATTACAAGTGCCCTTTGCAAAATCAGTCATTGAATTCAGACAAAAACTGTTTCAGAAACCAATGAAAAGCATCTGCAATTAAAAGGATACCATCTCCTACCAGCTGGAATGTCCTATTATACTCCACCATACAAAGCTGACCATGTACCTTTAGATTACCAAATATTTCCAATCCTATGAAGTAATAGGAAAAATTTAAATTCCCTGGAAGTCTATAAAAACTACTTAGATGAGTTTATCACCCAAAAAGATGTCAAGCTCTGGAAGGATGGAATTATGAAACTGCCTCAAAGATGGTGAAAAATAGTGAAATGAAATGACATGTTTTTGAATAAATCTATGTACAGATATCTGAATATCTTATTTGAAGTTGACTTAAAAATGCTACAAACTTTTGTTCTGAACTAATAAAAAGAAATTTGCTTGATATTTAGTTAAAAAAATACGTGCACATTTTTGATTAAGTGAATATTAAAAAAAAGAAGGAAAACTTATCTGATTTTAAAAGAAATTTAATTTTTACCAAGTGGCCAAATAGAATATCAGTTGTGCTCTGAGGCCTGGGTTTCAATCTTAGCAAGGAAAGCATCTGAAAACCTTACCATGAGTTGGCCCAAACCTTATGAATAAAGCTAGGCAGCTGCCATCAATGGAGTCATCATGACCGAAGGTTTGGGTGTACTGGCCTTTTTCAAACTGCTGATCACACCACATAATACACTCTCTCCTAGACCATCCTGGGTAAGACGTTAAACTACATCTGTGTCCTGGGTAAGACATTAAACTACATCCAGCAGCAAGGCCTCTGATCAGGAGGTTTTAAGGAGCGCGGAATCAACTCTTAATCACTGGTGTTCCCAGGTCCACCCATGACCCGGGGCAGTAGCACCTGGTAGGATCCCAGCTATGAAGAAATAGTTAACTATTACCAGCAATACTTTTTTGAAAAACAATTATTACCAGCAATACAATTTTGAAGGAAATATATTACCAGAAACAGATTTTTGACAAAACAAAATATTACCAGCAATAAAAAATGTTGTGGGCATTAAATAACCCATTGAGGTTGATATACCGTAAGACAAAATAAACCAAACCAATCTAAACCAAAGAATACATAATCTATTCATACGAATCTATCCTAAAAATGTTGTGGGCATTAAATAACCCATTGAGGTGTTGATATGCCGTAAGACAAAATAAACAAAACTAAACCAAACTTTCTCCTAGAAACTATAACTAAGGTCATCCCAACATAGTTTCAGTATAAATCACAGATTGGCTCTGTGAGTGTTGAATAAACAAAAATGTGGCTGAACAGGTTTCTACAACAGATTAAAATTGAAGACAAGCATACCCGGAAAACAAGTGGCTAGCCATAGATATGAGAATGGAATACCAAGATATGTTATAGCAGGGTTTCTCAAAGTGGGCCCCAAAGAGCCCACACTTTGGAATTTTCCCTCATGTGAGGTCCAAGAGCTCCGAAAACTTTCTATTGTTTTTTCTCATAATAAGAATAATGGGGGGGGGGGAATTGGAACTTGGCTCTCTGATTAGCAATTCCAAGCTATTATACATTACACCACCTGCACATCCAAGCTTACAGCACTTGGTATTCACAAGTGGTCACCCACCCATTTAGGTACTGACCAGTTTTGACATTGTTTCACTTCAGTGATCCTACAGGAAACAGTGTATAAATATTTGGGAGGAGAAGGCACCATTTCCGCTTTCAATTTCAGTACGTTCACCTCAAAACAACGGCTGTATTTTAATTTGAAGTTTGACTTCATTTTTCATTGAAATGTTAAAAATAAATTTATTCTTTTCTCATCTGTATTTTTAAAGATCAATAGGATTCTGCGAAAAACGTTTATCCTCTTTAAGGGCTTGGCAGCACTGACAAGTATAGGGAAACACTACATTATAGGTATATTTACCCAGCCTCTCTACTAAGAGAAGATGTGGCACAAAATGTTTTTATATAGGCCAAAGACAAAAACTGCCCAATCCCTGCAACCACTTTCATGGATATCACACCGATTCTCATCTCTTAATGCAATGAGGTAAGTGCTGACCCTGGTTTAAAATCCCCATAACTATGTGCCTTATCTCATCTAAAATATGAAGAATGTCTTCTGACACTTCTGGCTGAAAACAAACACATGTACCAGGTAAGAATATTTATTATATGAGATTAGAAAAAGAATAGTTACCTGTGTTTTTGATACTTTTTCAGTTGTTGCCAAATTACCTTTCAGTTCATCCAGTTTTGAAAGTGGTAACTTATTCCATGATGCCTCTTTACACATTTTGATTGTCATCTGATCCAGTTCATTTGCACAATTGTTAAGTTTTTTGAAATGGTATTCAAGTTCTTCATTGAGATCCTTTTGTTCATACGTTGAGAGAAGCTCATGTGTTTTCTTTACAACTGGTATAAATTCTTGCCGATGTTTTTTGATACAGCGTCTGAATTGGATTTCTTTTGAAACATGATCCGATTTCTCTTTGTGCTGTGCCATTTTAGACTTTTTTGTGGTGTCCTCTCCAGTGTTGTCAGTAAGTTCCTTCTCTGTCATTGAGGCATCCAGAAGCATTTCTGGAGCTAATACAGTTTCAAAAGAAAGACCACAAATATTGCAGCCTGCCTCACTGAGTTTTATGTCCGAGAAATAGTCCATCTCTGACTCTCCAGCAATGTATTTAGACAATTTATAAGCTAGTTGACTACACGCACAGCGAAATTTATAGGCAAGATATGCCCGTGATATGATGCTGACAGCTTTAAGTTTTTCAGAAAACTGCCTCGCTTGGTACTGTTCAGTTTCAGTGAAGCCATATTCATCGGTCTCATCGTCAATATCATATTCACCAGTGTTGTCATATTGTCTTTCGTCAATTCCTTTGCTGTCAAATTCCAAAGAAGTAAAAGTGTTTGTTGGACGGGGATCTCTAAATTGACACTGCAGACCTTGTTGAGTTTGGAGATTGTATGACCAGTAATACTGACCGACACTATCTCCTCTTTTTTGTAGTAACTCATGCAAAATCAGCACAGTGTCTAGAGCCCCTTTTGCAGTTCGTATTTTCTCTAGAGCATGTTTAAGTCTTGGTGCCATCATGTCTGTTATAGTGATGTTAGAAATAACATGTTGAATCATGGGTGCTAAATTTTTATCAACTCCCCTGCCGCAATTGCACATAAACACAAGGCCAAGGATTATGTAGCGCTCAGTAACACCTGAAATTGTATGTTGCTGTTCTGATGCTATGTTTATAATGTTAGAGTTAAACATGAGCTCGACCAGCTTTGTTATGCGGTCCATCAAGGTTTTTACTTTCAGAGGGTGAAGAGGTCTGAGCTGTTGTATTGTCTTTTGAAGAGAAAACTCAGAATACCTGTTTAGGCAGTCAATGAAGAAAGAGTGAGTAACATAGCTTCCTGGCAAGGCCACACCCAAATCTTTATTGCTTTTTAGAATCAACATCAGTGCTAGGATTACAAAGAATTCACACCAAAACAATAAAATGTCTAAACGAGGAAAGTCTTTGATATCGTTTCGCATTAATAAAGTTGTATATTTGGTGAATTTTATTAAAGACTCAAAGGGATCCCATTTTTCATGCAGATAGAAGAGCGAGTCTACAAATCGCTCATAGATACAAAAGTACATGTTTTTTGAGAATATCAGAACTCCATGTTTCTGTGATCTAAACTTCTTTGCAGACTGATACTCACACAATTTGTTCATCCAAACTTTTAAGTTAACATTTAGGTTAAACAAACCAATCAAAATTCTGCACTCAAGAAAGAAACTTGGTAACTGCCTTCGGAACCGGACTCTTTTCCAGGCTGCAAAAAGATAATTTCTCACAAAGACTGCACATTTCCGAAACGAAAGAAACCATTTCTTCATTGAACCATATTGTGCGGGGTTCTTGATGGGCAAATTATTTCCAGCAATTGGTGTTAGAATCTGCAGCAAAATCTGACTGACACTATAGAAATTTTTCTCATCAAACAAGCTTTTGACAGTTGTCATTAAAGCTAAATCTTCATCAACTTGTTCAATTAAGTCTGAATCCATGACTATCAAATATTTTGTAACCATCATTGCAATGCGGAATACGTTTTCGGTATAGGGTTCGTGCCGATGTAGACAGCTGGAAGTTGATGTCTTACAGAGTATACCAATTTTCTGCAAAGGACACAAACACTCTTCCACTCCTTGGCAATTATACCCAGCCAAATATAAAGGACATTGTATGGTCTGGCTCAGCTGCAACATGTAACACTGTCGAACCCATAAAAACAATTTTTCAATGACACTCAGAAGATGGAAATGTAATTTTTGTTTTATTTCTGCAATGGGGTAATCTATTTGAGAATCACTTATGGCGGATGATGTTGATTCAAACTGAATACTGGCAAGTGGCTCAAGTTTTGGATATGTACATACCGTTTGGCTGTTAAGCACATGAAATCCAAAATGTTGTAGATATTCCCTCATTGGTAAACTGACCGTATAGACAGTAGATTTTAAGTCTTTAAGAATCTTGTAACTCAATTCAATAGTTTTCATGATATTGACGTTATAAGAGTTTTCGTCAAATTGCAAGAATTCTATGAGGACAACAGCTGACTGTAAGCAACCTGCAGAGAATTTAAAAGAAAAAAAAAATACATTTTTATACATTACAATGGAATTTAGAAGTATGGGTTATCTAAAGTAAATGGATAATAACATTAGCAAAATATGTTTAACATTCAATTTGGGTAGTTTGTTTTCACTTCATATTCATGCCCTTGGAAAAGGCATGAATCCACTTTTCCCTACCACCAGTCATAAGTAAATAGTAGAGCAGTTTGAACACTTTGGCTCAGTGACAGTCCCAACATGTAGTTAACTATGTTTACAGACTGTTTTTTGTGATATGGTGGACCAAATCGGTTGCGTGCTACTAACAAGGTGATACCTATAAAAGGCGTCCTGGGTAAGACAATAAACTATATCCAACAGCAAGGCCTCTGATCAGGTTTTGAGGAGCGTGGAACCACCTCTTAATTGCTGCTGCTCCCAGGTCCACCCTGACTCGGGGTGGTAGCACCTGTTAGAGTCCCATCTATGGGCAAATACTTAACCCCAAAACTGACGTAAAAAGCATTATATAAGTGTAAAAATGGGTTTAATACCAGAGATACTTTGTAAAAGAATTGTTACCAGAAATAAAATAAATTGAAGAAAAAAAACTATTACCAGCAATACATGTTTTAAAATAATGTTACCAGCTATACATTTTTGAGGAAAAAAATATTACCAGAAATAGATTTTTGACAAAACCAAAATATTATCAGGAAAAAAAAGTTGTTAGCATTAAATAACCCAATGAAGTTTATTTAGTCTGAAATTGCAGCATTTTAACTTAAAAAAGAAAAAAATCTTTGTTGATCAGAAATAGACAAAAGAAAATATTAAGAATTTTATCAAAGTTAATTATGTTCTATAAAACTGTTTTTAATAAAGATGAACACATCGATTATCAAATTAAAATTTTTATGGGTAATTTGTTTTTCTTTTTAACATGTATTTAAAATCTATTCTGCATTTTAATTTTATTACCCTTAATAAATAAACGAATATGTAACTTTTTTGGTTGGGTGGTACAATAGGCTCTGTGCCCAGAAATAATCATTGTTTTCAATATACCTATTGATTAAAAGGACTTCAGAACACACACACAAACATTATATATATATATATATATATATATATATATATATATATGTAATATAAATATATGGATATAAATCCGACAGTACTACTACGTGATCATATTTAAACAGAACGCTGATCTGTATAAAATTTCAGTTAACTGTTTGAATTAGTTGGGCTCTTATGTCCATCGTCTTTTGTGTTAAATTTTTATAAGTTATAATGTTAATTATGTTTAAATGAAAATGTCCATGAAGATGGTCTTAAATAGACCCGAAATGTCAGACGTCGACTTTATTTTAACATTAATACTACATAAATGCATATTCAGATTTTTTGTTTTTTTGTATTTTTTTTTCATATATATATATATATATATATATATATATATATATATATATATATATATATACCCCAATAATCAGTGCAAAAAATTTCATATAAAAAAAAAGAAGAAAAAAAAAAAAAAAAAAAGAAATTCCTTTACAACTCTAATATTTATCTCTTTGCTATCCACCCAGTCAGTTTTTGCCCTGCTATTCATTTACACAAGCTTGTTAGGTAGGTTACTTACTGTTTCTCCTCTGCCTGGCCATCTTGCCTTCAGTATATCCTGTAAGTATCAGATTCTCCAAGCTATCTTTCCTCATTATATGTCCTGAAAATTTCAACTCACTCTTTCAACTAAGTACATGTGCCTTTTTTTATTCCCATTTTCTTTCTTGCTTACATGTTCCATACTTGGTATCCTTAGCATCTTTCTGTAGAACCACATCTCTATTGTCTCAAGTATCATATATGAGGAAATTGGCAAACATTCCCTGCCATATAGGGAAAAAAGGTATTACATAACAATTAATTACTTTTCTTTGTTTCTAATGAAATTTTCCTATTTCCTAATACTTTCCTTTGCTTTTGGAAGGCATCTTTCATTATCACATCGAGCCTTTATATTTTACTATTTACATTTTTTGGACTATTGTCCTCATCTTTGTCACCATATTTATATTTTTTGTGTTAAGGTGTCTTAATTCTTGGCCACAGACATGTTTTTTATGAATTTATATAGTAACTAGAATAAAATCAGTTACAATGCATTTTGCAAATAAAAGTTTATATACAATATATATTCTGTCAATAATATTTGCTTTGAATTCTGACTATAAGCAATCTTTTTTTTTATTCTTCTATAAAAATTAAATGCTGAAACTTGCTAAAGAGATCCTATACATTTGAACAGGAGACCAATCAAACAAATTTAGTCAAGCCATCCCAAAATATATAATATGGTTACATTTGGACGTGGGAGCAAGCAAGGCAAATTTAGTCAATTCTTCCACATTTAGATCAGGGATCAAACAAGGAAAATTGTTAATTCTTCCACCAACCTGCCACTTGTAGACCTGAGGCCAAGCAAGTCAAATCTAGTTAATTCTTCTTCCAACCTGTCACATTTGGATGTGAGAACAAGCAAGGCAATTTTAGTTAAGACTTGCTCAAATAGACAATCATATCACATTTTGACAAGGGATCAATTAAGACAAATTTCATCAAGTCTTCCTCAAATATACAAACCTGCTACATTTGGACGGGGACTAATCAACAGGAATTTGGTCAACGCTTCTGCAGCATTTTCTTTGTCTTTGTTCATCATACTCAATAAAAGCAAACACAAGCCATAGCCATTCATGTCTGCCTTTCTTTGGTAACAAGCTTTTGCTTCTTCGAGTAGAAGTGTCGTCTCATTTTTTAACACAGATAAATCACTATCTTCATCTAGCTGCTTCAACTGAACATACTTGTACTGGGCAAAGGTGTAGAGACAGTTGGCCAACACCTCATCAGTTCCACTCCGAGCCAATTGAATACACTTTTCATACTTTCCGTTACGCCTCAATAATTGGATAGATTGTTCAAGTAGCCCTGAAAAAAAGTAAATGTCAGTCAATGAGCATGTAGCAATTAAAAAAAAAAAAAAAAAAGAAAAAAAAAAATTGAAACAAAATATTTCATATAATCTCTACTGTATTTGGAGCAAAGTAACTTACACACATACACACGTGTGTGTGTGTGTGTGTGTGTGTGTGTGTGTGTGTGCCCAAATTATAAATAATCCTTCCCAGATAAGGAGGAAATTCTGTAAGATAATTTATTTGTAATTTGGAAAAGTTGATCAATAAAATTAATTGACACAAAATGTCTTGTTTTTAAGATATATCATACTTATTATAAAACCCAGGTTATGTGCGTGTGTTCGTTTATATATGGGATCAGATTTCTTACATTTTCCAACCGATTTCAACAAAACTTCACTTTTGGGGGCGGGGCAGGTAGTGTTTCTTATTGTCTTGCACACTTTTTTCTTTATTTTTACATTCAGAATACTTTAAAAATTCCATTTACAAGACAATTGTTTATAATAAAATTCTATTCAATCGATAGACTCATAACGATTGAAAACAATGTTTTTGTTCGAGTTTGACAAATTCGTAAAAAAACCAAAAAACAAACAAAACAAAACAAAAAAAAAAAAAAAAAAACTAATTAAGATATGTGTGTCTCAACCTTAAACAAAAATCTTTGTCAATTTTATTTTTCATTCTTTATGATAGTCAATACTTGATCTATCTCTTACTGTTACATCCCCGGGCAACACTGGGCTCTACTGCTAGTATATATATATATATATATATATATGAGTTGGGCAGTTTGGCAATTTATATTTTCGTATTGGTTTTCGTTTTTTTTTCTTGATACTGCGGTTTTCGATTTGGTTTTTAATTTAGTATTTTTGCCTTTTAAGAAAACCATTCATTTTCTTGTGAAATGATAGCATTTCCAGTCGATATTTGATTTCATTTGGGACCGATAAATTTGCAATTTAGTTCGTTCAACTTGAAATTTATTGTGTATTTCTGGTCCAGTCTTAAAAATATTCATATGGCTGGAGGAAAAATAATCTTTATAAATATCTAATTTGTATGTGCTTTTATTCATTGAATTATTTTTTTTACAGTGAGTATTTTGCTTTGAACAGCCAAAAATATGAAATATGATCCCCCGCCTCTGAGACTAAATTTTACACTTACTTTGATTTGCAAAATCAAAGTGACCAATCTTTATCAATATTCTTGAAATTGTACACTCAAGAAGACACATTAAACTACGACCAGGAAGATGTTTTAAAAAAAAAAAAAATGTCTGACATTGACAGACACTTGTCTTCAATTAAAGTTTATTTATTAAACTTTCGAATAAATTGTCAACTATATATAACTACCATATTTATTAATAAATTGGTGAAATACAAAAGAAATTGTTGTATAAACTATTTATACTCTTGTCTTTTTGGACAACACATTTGAGAGAAAATGGTATAGCTCTCCAGAAATTAGTTTATGATATGGCTTTTAAAAAGCCAAAAGAATGAAACCGATGTTTTTAAAAATATGGCAATTCTTTTCTGGTATGCCAGTCAACCGTTATTGGAGTTTTGCAAATAAATTTCTTCTAAAGAAGGAAAAAAATCAACAAGTTATTTTTTTACATAAATAAATTTATGTTTATCTAGCAAATACACAAAAATAATTAAAATCATTTAATTTCATTTTTAGAATGTGTATATTCCCAAATCTGTGAGTATCACCATTTTTTTTTTTTTTTTTTTAGACCAGTTGCTACCCAAGGCTATGGAACCCAGACTGTTTGACTATTTACCCATTGCTGTGGGAGAAGAGATGGATTTATACCATTCCCAGTGAATGTAAATAACTGGAATTCAAATTCAGCTCTTGAATTTCTCAATCCGAGCCACAATACATTACTCCACTGTACCATGTCATAAAATGGGTGGGCAATTTTATATTAAACTATTTGTATGAACTGAACCCTCATTTCTTGATTACAGCAGATAACTCTTACATATTGCTGATTTCAGCATTGGATGGTACATCAAAACTATCAAATTCAAACACTATTATTGTTCAAGGGGTCAGTGTCATCTTTAGTGGCAGGATAAACTTTTTGTACAGCAAATGAAGTCAATTACACAGTGATAAAGGTTATAAATTATTGCATCTTTGTGGCAGTTTGTGCTGTCATGTGGTTTTAAACTACAAAATATAGCTAGTATGTTTCTAGTTATAAAATCTTTATTGATTTTAGGTTGTTCATTTTTTTTTTTTTTTTATAGTTAATATCTCAAGAATTTGTAGTCATTTTTTACTTAGATAATGGTTAATGAAAGATGAAAGTAATTGGACAATTTACATTGAAATTTTAACGGGAAAGCAAATCTGAAATATATAAAATTAAAACAAATATATAAAAAAATTAAAAATTCCTAAACAAAGAACCTTCATTGGTCTTTAACCAAATTTGTATAAACCATTAATGGCTATCTCAATGCAACCAATCAAAAAAGTGAACGTTAATACAACTCAAACTAAAAAGCAAAGAGTGCAATATGTTGAATAACATGATATCTAAGATTAAATATTCTAAGAACTTAATATTCCCATAGACAGAATAAAAAAAATTCTTGATTGTAACTTGAAAAAAAAAAGTCACTTCTGACCTTCTTCAAACAACATGTCTGCTGCTAAGTTAATCAATCCGTTTTTCTCCAGAAATTCCATCTTTTCAGCTGAAGGCAATTGGTGAAGAACAATTTTCATTTGGTCAAAATTTCTGTTCTTATAATGTGAATTTGCTGACTGGTAGCAGAGATAATTGATGTCTTTCTGGGGTTTGTGATTAAGGAGAATTTCAGGCACTTCTTCACCTTTCTTATCATAGGACTGAAAAAAAGAAGAAAAGATTCTTCAGACTAAACATGACAACAACAAAGATGAAGACAATAGTCTGCATGTAAATAAGGATAACTTCTCTCTGCCAAAAATTAAGGCAGGAAGAAATTTCTTTAAATTTAAGAGATAAATGAAAAAGAGTTTAATTGCTGATTCATGCTATATCAGTAGTTTCCAAATTGTACAACATGCCTCACAGGTGCAGCGGAAGAGGATAACAGGTGAGGCAGAATGATTGAAAGACAATCAAAGATTTAGAAACAGTTTCTAAAAATTCATAAACCAAAAATAAATATGATTTCAAAATTTAAAATATTATTATGGATTACTTGTAATTGCATGCATGAGTCTCAGTATAAATAATTATTGATCGATTTTTATCATTATCATATTTTTGCATTATAACAAGTATGAAGAGTATAGTAAGTAGGCTCTGCAAATTGGAGAAGAGAGTTATCAATGATGTTCTGACTTTGATTCTGCAGTTATCTCCTTTTAACCCTCTCTCTGTTTTTTTTTATTTTTAAATATATTTTTTATCACATAAAATCTGATGAGGTGCAAGCAAATTTTCATTCCAAAAATGCAGTCCAGAGAAAAAAAAAGATTCTGTGGAAGTAGCATAGCATGTCCTGGCTGTAAAGGTTTGAACAGGTGGAACTAAAGAATGGAACTCGTGCAAATGTTTGCTACGGGACAAGTGATAGAGTAGTAACAGGCTTGCAATGTTGCATCTCTGGGGAAAGATTGAAGAGGGAGAAAATACATAGAATTACATGCTATCTGTTGGTCTTACAAAATGATAATGCAGCATGGTTCTGGAACCAAGGCCGCTGGAAAATTGCTGGTCTATCTGTATTTTAATGACCAATTTCAAATTTCTTTTGAAAGACTAAAATAAAATTTTGGAAACAAAGTACTAAGTGCGTTGAACTGTGGGGACGAGAGTAAGTGAAATAGTGTGTATGGTTCATGGTCATTCTAATTTTCAATCCAGTAAGATGCATGGGTGTCACAGAGAATGAAAGAAACTATGAAAACATCGAGGAGAGAGAGAGGACATGGAAAGACCAAGATTCAAGGAGACAGAAGTTGATGATTGATGTTGCATTTAAATTTTTGAAGATTCTGTCAGCACTTCCCAGATATGGTGGTAAAAGAAAGCAAGAAAAAGACTAACCATTAATTGAAAGTATGATCATAAGCAAGTGAAAAAGTTCAAGATGTGAGTTACAAATTGGAGAAATAAACGTCAGGCGGGTGTAGAAGTTTGAATATCTTGGAAGTGTTTTAACAGAAGATGGAAAATGCGACACTGGGATCTAAACAAAGTAGTGAAAGAGGCATTCTAAAAGCTAAGCAAAGTATGAGAAACAGTTAAATTTCTGAAGGAAAAAAAAAGAAAGGGGGACTGGATTGCTGTGATGTCCATCCTTTAATTGGCAGTGAATGTTGGGCAATCTTCCCACGAACAAATAAAAAATTAGAGGCAGCAGAAATGTTCTACAGAAGGATACTGAAAATTCCAGAGACGAAGCAAGTAGAACAGCAGAAAAAACACTTATTCTTTGAATCGAGAAAAGACAGCAGAAATTCCTTGGATATAATTAGGAAAGAAGGCATGGAAAACTTAACAGTCACAAGGCATATGGAGGGCAAGAGAGATAAGAGAGGGCAGTGAGTTTCTTACCTGATGAGTGTGTGTGAATGAATGGCAGAAGGGAGGGAATAACCTTAGCAAAGGGAGAAAAACAGCTAAGTGACACACAAGATAGGTGCTCATGGCTCTCCATAACTTCCTATGTCCCGAAGGGACATGGTATGTAAAAGTTAACAAGAAAGTAAGAAGACAGAAGAGTTCCACAAGGCAAAAGTTTGAGAGAACTTTTTGGCTAGCTTGTGTATAATTCCATTTTATGAAAGAGAGAAAAAGTAGCCAAACCTCAACAAGATTGTTGTATCGTTGGATGGCATCTATAGCATGGTCATACATCTTGTTGTCATGCAAAATATCCACAGTTTTGTCAAATTGTTGCAGGATCTCATAACAATGACTTGCTTTGTGAGGCATTTCCAGAGACAAGTAAATTCTACCAGCAATGTCATACTGAAAACACACAAAAACAAAAGACATTTAACATTAATTCAGCAAAATATTTTTTATTTTCATGACATTCTTATATTAGCAAAGTTTATTTTCATGACATTCTTATATTAGCAAAGTTTATTTTCATGAAATTCTTATATTAGCAAAGTTTATTTTCATGAAATTCTTATATTAGCAAAGTTTATTTTCATGAAATTCTTATATTAGCAAAGTTTAACAAAAAAACAACTTTTGATAATGAGAATTTTTTTTGTAATCACTGTATACTTTTTAAATGCTATTTTTAGGAGTTTAATAAAACCTAAGTTTATTTTTTCTTGAGAATTGAAAACAAAAATATTAAGATTTTATTTATTAGAACATTTATTTACAAGTAACTGTATTTATAAATTAAAAAAAAAAAAAAAAAAAAAAAAAAGAAATAACATTTTCTGGACATTATACATTTTCCAGAGGGTGTGGGAATCAGCTAGCTATTATATGTTCATTGTAAAATATGTAATTATTTTTATTTAAATTTTGGTTTATAATTTAGGCATTTTTATAAATTTATAAATAAAAAAAAAAATTTCTTTTCAGAGTTAGTTCTTTATAATGTTAAATAATAAATATTGCATTATAGTTGGTGCAGATATATTCATAATGTAAATATAAAATATATTCTTGTAAATAAAGAATCTAATGGAGAAATCAACCTTTGGGCTGAGCAGTATGTACTTGGAGTCAGTAGAAATAGGATGAGTAATAAGTGAGCAGTACTCAAAATAAGAATTAGACAAGGTATCTCTAGACATCGATATACACCTGATGAAGGATGGAAGGCACAATGGCTGAAACATTGTGATAGCAACAGCAAAGATGAGGACAATAGTCCAAATTTAAATAGTGTAATTAATAATTACCCTCTCCACTCATCCCAGAAATTCAGATAGAAATTAATAAATAATTAAGAAATTAATATTTTTTGTCAGCAAGAAAATATATAAATCTATATATAAAAGTATAAATATTTGGATTGTATTAAAACTCTAAAAATAGCTTTCAGAAAAAAATAAAATTCATTTCTTTCCTTTCCAGGTATGTTTGTTAAATTTTGGCTTTATATCTGACAAAAACATTCACATACATTGTATGGAAAAAAAAAAGATGTAATGATGCCATTAACCATTTTCATGCAGGAAACATTTGACATTTATTGACCAAGCAGTTTCACTGTAAGTTGAAATTTATAATCATTTCATTAAAAAGTTCTGTTAATATTCAGAGTTTCCTCCCATTTTTTTTTGCTATGGCAGACATTTAACAGCTTGATTACATTCTCTTCTAGTTAAATATACAATCCATTTTAATTGTTGCTACTGTTGAAATTGTTAGGAAAGGGAACTGAACTGTTATATAATATTGATCTTCCTATATGGCAGCGAATGTTAGGCAATCTTCTTACAGATAAAAAAAAAAGATTTGAGGCAACAAAAATGTAATTCTACACAAGGATGCTGCACATACCATAGACTGAACATGTGTTCAACAACAAAGTTTTAGAGAAAATGGAAACGAAAAGGAAACTTATACTTAACATCTGGAAGAGAATATTGAAATTTCTAGGGCACATAATAAGGAAAGAGGGTTTGGAAAATCTGATGCTTACAGGGACAGATTGAAGGCAAGAGGAAAACAATGTATCCGATTAGTGAACTAAGTAAATCAATGTCAAAACAAGGTTTAGGGGAGATAAGAAAAAGACTAAATTTATTAAGAGCTACAAAGAACAGGAAATTGTGGAGAGCCATGACTGACAACGTCCTGAAGGAACACAGCACATACAAGATAGTTGGTTGATTTTATGACATGCTAACCTTTGTTTGGCATATAAAAATGTGCATTTTATTTGGTAAAAATGTTTTGTAGCACAAGTACTGGGTCTAATGAAGGAATTGTCTAAGATTTATAGAATTCATTCATTTATAGCCATTTTTAATCATTTATCTGAGAAATGGTTGCATATAGATGACAGTTTAAACATTTATAAATTGGACACTATGCAGGACAACCACATGAAACTCTAGATCTGATTACACTATTTAAGAACATGACTTGTTTTCAGGTCTATATTTTGGAAGTATCTTATAGTGTTAGACAAAAGTACCCTTAGTACAACCTGTTTTCAAACTTGTAAACTTCTATACTAAATCTGTTGTAACTGATCCAAGCAGCAAGGTATTTAAAATGTTTTGAAATTATTAATTCCACATTCTAGATTCTTGTAAGAGACTCAAGTCTAAGTGTTATCATTTCTCTCATTTCAATTTCAAGTCATGGTCTCAGTTTTTGGAAAGGTTTATTCTAAGTTTGAATTCTGTGAATGCTTGCTGTAGAATGTTGCTCTTTTGTTCCAGATCATTCTTATACTGAATACAGAACACCTATGCCATTAGTATAATCTATGGTACACTGGCCACAGTAGGGGAAAACTAAACAAGAGCATTGATTTCTATCAGTAGATTTTGTTTGATATCCATTAGACTAAATCCTTTATAGTCATTTAGCTCATTAGAAAAATAAAATTTTAAACCTAACCCTCCATTATCTCATTTTCAAAAATTTATAATGATACTAAATAGTATAAAATTTTCAAAAAAAATTTCCTTGTTTTTTATTTAATCACATGCATATCATATATATATATATATATATATATATATATATATATATATATATATATATATATATATATATAGTTAATATTAGTGGTATATACACATACATATGCAAAAGGTGCATACACATACATGTATATTTTTTGAATATATATATATATAAAATGTGTGAGTTCAGAAAAATAGTATGACAAAGTGGTAAAAAAAAGTTTTTTTGGATGAAACAATTCACAAAAACTTTTTTTCCAATTTGTCATACTATTTTTCTAAATACAAAATTTTTGTTGATATATAAAATTATACAAAATTATTGTGTGTGTGCAATTAAATATATTTTATATATATATATATATATATATATATATATATATATATAAAATATATATATAATATAAATATAAATAAAATATATATATATATGTATAATTATTTATATATTATATATTGTGGTACTTATTAAGCGCTCAATATCAGAGATAGAGCTAACATATTTGGTTGGATAGATAAACATTTGTGACCTGGGTTTTATATGTTTATGAGTCGTCACGGACAAACTGATTACTGTTTAAAAATTTGGGTTTATACATCGATGTTTGCGTTTTATTGTGAATGAAGTGGTGGGGAAATTTCCCCATTTTTGTCATTCATAACACAAATACAAATCAATCTACATAAACCCAAATTTTTTAAACAGTAATCAGTTTGTCTGTCCGTGAAACCCAGGGTCACAAACTCACATCTATCCAACCAAATATATATATATATATATATATATATATATATATATATATATATCCAAAAGTATTGGAACAGAAAGTCCAATTCCTTTGATTTTTTGTAGCTTACTGAAGACATTTGGGTTTAAGATCAAAAGATGAATATGAGACAAGAATTAAAAATTTCAAGTTTTATTTTCTGGTCTTTACCTTCATGTTTGTTGTTGCTGTTATTGTCACAATGTTTTGGACATTGTGCTGTTAGGCGTTTATCAAATGTATATCAATCTGGGCAAGCTATAGGGAATTTTAAAATGAACACTTTATTTAATCTACGCAGGTAAACTTCTTGCTTACTTGAACTCAAAGGAAACAGGCAAGCAATAACTGAACAATACTAAAAACATAAGTACTAGATGAGATATCACTAGATATGAGCAGTGGAACAAGAAGTCAATCCCCATAGACTAAATAAAGGTTTCAGTTCAGAATTCCCTGTTGGTTATACAGATCAATAAACAACCTGATGATGACAGGAATGTTATGATAAAAAAGATGAGGAAAATAGCGCTAATGTAAATAGTATAAATAATGCTAACTCCTCACCACAGAAATTCAGACAGTAATTCAAATATTTTTAATTAAAACAATATTTTAAAGTTTCAAATTCTTACTTCTTGACATTTTTCAAATAGCTCTGCGCTAAATAATTTTTCTTTAGCACAGCCGAGGCACTTTGCCGCTTTGATGTGTTGATGACATTCTATGTACAATTGGGCAGCCTGTAAGTAATGTTCTTTCTTTCTATGTGGGTCAGAGCAACGTTGAGCTGTCAGTGCCTGGTGATTGGCCAGTGCTGTTTTTTCCTGCTGCACATAGCCTCCATGATGATAGCATTTAGCAGCAATTTCAAACAGGGATCTACGGCTGAATTCGTCACCACGTCGTAACCACATCTCCAAAGTAGAACCCTCAGCAAAAATCATTTCTGGAAAAAAAATTTTTTTTTTTAACAAGAGGATTTTTTTTTTTTTTTTTTGGTTCCCATGTCTTACTACAATGGAAAAAATGCATGACAAAATATTTGAAATAGAAATATTTCAACAGTGATCGATACCCATTTAAAGAAAAAGGTATTAACTGACAACAACTAAATATTTTCAGAGAAATATTTAATGTTAATTTAGCAATTAATGTCAAATTGTTAAAAAATGACTTTTTAGCAATTGCAAAAACAGAATTAAGGAGACTTTGTTAAACTTTTTTGGAAACCCAAATGTGAATTAACAAATCTCTATATGTGACAGGTTTGGTGTACGGCATATAACCAGAATGGGTTATTTAATGCCGACAAGATTTTTTATTGCTGGTAATAATATTTTACAAAAATGTATTGCTGGTATTAAAACCTATTTTTACACTTTCATAGTGTTTTGACCCCAGTTTGGCAGTTAACTATTTGCCCATAGCTGGGACCCTAATAGTTGCTACCACCCCAGGTCAGGGTGAACCTGGGAACACCAGCAATTAAGAGGTGGTTTCATGGTCCTCAAAACCTCCTGATCAAAAGCCTTGCTGTTGGATGTAGTTTATTGTCTTACCCAGGACACCTTTTTCTGTGACAATTGTCTGCAATTTTTATAGTTATCATTATTTGGATTTCAGTAGAAGAATCCGGAGGCCAGCCGGTTAATTTACCGGAATATGGAGATAATGTAATTGGGAATTATCATTTTCAGGGGAAAAGGAAGTCATTTATTATTGTTATTGGACAAGATTTTCATATATAAAGTCAGTGCACATTTCACTTGGTGGTCATTTTTCTGACTGGGGAAAGCACCCCAGTCAGCAGAGGTTGACTTGAAATGGCCTGAAATTGCTTGTAAGACAGTACTCAGTAAAGAAGCACACCCACAATTCCCAGGATGGTCTGAAAACACAGACACACATGCAACTGAAGAACTGAGTGAGTGTCAATTGATTGGACATCACATTAACAGTTGCGACCAGAATCTCCAAATCACCACTTCTGCAGTAGAATTTGCAGTAGCTAATAAGAGACATTTTATTCAACCATTATTTTCTTTATATTCAACAGTTTTGTGCATTCTATTGTGGGAGTTTTTTTTATTTTTTTATTCCAGTCTGAATTCCAATGTGTACCTTGATATAAGTTTGCTATGGCCAGGAATTATACAATCTTGTCTATAGTATAGAACATATATAAGGGATTCACACTTTGATTGACCTCAACCGCCCCACCCCCAATATCCTAAGATTTTGGAAAATCCAAATCAACCCTATCAAGGCAACAAATTAGCTTCCAACTGAGTAAAGAAAAGTAAGCCAAATAATCATAAGGTCAATATTAGTTAACAAAGCTGGTGGATCTAGCAACTGAAAAGGAAAAAAAAGACATAGCTTGGAGCTTGGGAAGGGGAATGTGGTAAGTGAGTTGAGAAGTGATAGGTGTGTTGATAGATGTGTCAATGACAAAGGGTTGTCAATACTGGTGGGTGATGATTAGTTTTTATTCCATCTCTTTAAATTATTGGTTTTTGAAAACTTGTTGCACTTTGGGTTGTGCCTCCCTATATACATATTAAAAATAGTCCCATCTTGAAAAAAAAAAAAAAAAAACAATTTTTGAATTTGGTTGGCTTAACATAAGGTTGTCTTTCACAAAATAATTTCTAAATCGAAAATAGAAATTCAACAATTAAGTATAATGGTTTTAATGAACAGAACTACAAATAGAAATTTTCACAAAAAGACTACACATTTTAGCTACCCTTAGGCTGTATTCTGTGGCATTTTTTTTTTTTTTTCACAAATGGGTCCATTGTTCAACCATGCAAGTGATCTTACAAGAGGGTATCTAAGGGGAGACTTTGCCAGAAGTTTCTCAATAATGGTGATGAACATTGCATGCAGAATTGCAACAAAGACAAACAGATCTTTTGTTGACACATTTCCTTTTTTAGGATAAATTTTGCATACAGCAATTTTGCCAGAAATCCACATTTGATCTTTGCAGCATCTTTATGCATATTTGAGCTTGACAAAATTCTTACAAATTCATTCAGTTTGAAAAATGTAATTATCTTTTTAGTATGATCTTCCTTTACAAATCTTAACAGATTCATGATCATGGTAAAAAGATTATTTGCAAAGAAAGGAAGCAACAGTTCATCACTGATATTTTATCAGAAACGGTTCAATGTCTTTTGAAATAGACACAAAAATCTGTAGTTTCATTGGAAATAAAATGTCATTCACATTTGAAAGCATAGCAGAGAAGGACATTTTTTTCCATTTTTGATGACATCTGGCCAAATATTGAGGAGTTGTTCATATGTTGGTACAGGAAAAAAACAAAAAAAGGGAAGGAAAAAAAGGGAAAAAAAAACAGAAAAAGAGAAGGAAAAAAAGGAAAAAAAGGGGAAGGAAAAAAGGGAAGGAAAAAAAGGGAAGGAAAAAAAACAGAAAAAAGGGAAGGAAAAAAAAAACAGAAAAAAGGGAAGGAAAAAAAAAACAGAAAAAAGGGAAGGAAAAAAAAAACAGAAAAAAGGGAAGGAAAAAAAAAACAGAAAAAAGGGAAGGAAAAAAAAACAGAAAAAAGGGAAGGAAAAAAAAAAAACAGAAAAAAGGAAGGAAAAAAAAAACAGAAAAAAGGGAAGGAAAAAAAAAACAGAAAAAAGGGAAGGAAAAAAAAACAGAAAAAAGGGAAGGAAAAAAAACAGAAAAAAGGGAAGGAAAAAAAAACAGAAAAAAGGGAAGGAAAAAAAAACACAAAACAAGAGAAGGAAAAACACAAAACAAGAGAAGGAAAAACACAAAACAAGAGAAGGAAAAACACAAAACAAGAGAAGGAAAAACACACACAAAAAGGAAGAAAGAAGGTAGTGGGAAAAAAAAGAAAAAAAGGAAAAGGATAAAAACCTTTTTCTTTCAGATTGTGAGTATTGATTGGTTGTACTAATTTCAATGTCTTGAAATAGTCAAACATTGGTGCCCTGTTTGTTTCATCTGCATCAAAGATCCAAAGATTCACTCTAGCTCTTGTCAGTGCAGTATAGAGGAGCTTTAACTCCGAATTAAGAATTTTATGTAGGTTGGAGTTGAATGCAAGTGGGCGTGGTCTATTTGCCTCTTGGAGCACATCTGCAAACCAGAAGGAAGAAAATGCATTTATAAAACAAAACTTTAGTATATCTGAATAAATGAGAAAATAAATGAAGACATGACAAACTGTTCCTTACCCAAAGAAAATAATTCTGAGTTTCACAAAAGTTTAAATTGTTTGGGTAATTCTAACTTTAATTATGGTTTTAAAAAAAATGAACATTTAAAAGCATTATTCAGACAATATGTACAAATATATTAAAACAAAGAGAGAGGTATTTCAAGGAAAAGAGAAAAATATTATCCACCGTAAAATAGTTGACAAAATTGTCTGACGATCGCTAAAGCGTGAAACCCAGGGTCACAAACTCACATCTATCCAACCAAATATGTTAGCTCTATCTCTGATAGTGAGCGCTTTCTAATAAGTACCGCGCATATAATATATAAATAATTATACATATATATATATATTTATATTTATATACACTTTTCACACACAAAAGAAACTATTCAACTAGCTTGGTCATCAAAGCACTCTGTAGCCAAACAGTTAAAGCACATCAGAACTAATAATGATTTCCCCTAGGACAATGCAGTTTTGAAACACACCAGAAAGCACATATTTCTCAAATATTCAGACCAGTAGATGGGGAAAAAAACCAAAAAATAAAACAACTTATTTTACCCTATTCTTTTTCTTCGTCTGTTTAAGAATTTTTTTGTTAATTCCACTTGTTTAGAATTTTGTCAATTACACTTAATCATGAGCAATTATTCCACAAATTCCATCAATAAAAACATTTTAGCTCATTGAAGTCTTTTTAGAGCATAAAACTTGTTCATATGAAAATTTTGCCACTGACCTAACATTGTTCTCATATATAGAAATTTATATATATTCTCCAAGAGAAAAATATGTAAAAATAAGAGTTTTATTACATTCCTGTCATTAAAATGGAAGACAGGGATTAGCACATATGAAACATTGAATTGTTTGCACTCAATTTGATAATAAAATTAATACTAACTTCACAACAGCAAAAAAGATATGTGAATACATGTAAAAGTGTTATCAGCCATGTTTACAGAAATTGTGCACTAAAGCAAACAATCCTTACTCTCCCTAATATGCAAGCAATCCTTACTCTCCCTAACATGAAAACAATCCTCCACAAGAAAAACTGTTTTACAATCAAAGACTAACATGTATGTATATAATTCATTATAAAAAAGTCAAGCATTAGACAAAGAGGAAGATAGAAAAATATATGTTAGTATCATGCAGGAAAGAAAAGCTTACAGAATTTGTCAGACGATGTAGTAGTCACCGTTGTTGACAGAGTAAAAATTTGTATTAACTACTTGGTGAATCTGAAAATTGATGACTGGCTTAACATTCAAGGATCAGAAAACTTTACTGAATTAATCTAACGGTCTTTTGACCTAAAAGTACAATTCTTAAGCTAGTCAAGCAATGAAAGCAATCAGATTTTATGGGCTAGAAAATGGAGACACAAAGTCATGCTTACACAACTTGAGTGTAAAGTATCAGTCTTATAATATACTTAAAAAAATTTAAGGAATAAGCAACTGCAACCTAGTAAATAAAAAAAATAGTCAGAATTTCAGTAATGCTAGAAAATGCAAAACAGGATCCAAACAACAAAGATGAGGATACTAGGCTAAAGAATAGATCATAAAATATGAAACAACAGAAGCAAAGACACACCCATGTCAATTTCGAGAAGATTTTCTTGGTTATTTGATTGGTCCTTTGTCTGACTTTTCACCAATTCTTGCAGGAATTCTGTCACCACCCGCCATTCTTTAGAAGCCTAAACGTAAAAAGTAAACAAGAGAAGCCATTACAATCTTAAAATATGGAAGCTTCAAAATTGATAACATTTATTAGGCAAAATATATATCAGCAGAAAACCCCAAAATTTGTTATTCACATTTAATATTAGAACCTCATTGAAGTGGAAAGTTGGCTCACTGTGTCATGCTAAACAGCTTTTCTCACCAGAATCTATCTTGTACACTTATAAATCTACTATTTTCCCTTGCCACATTTGATCTGGTGCTTCTACTATGTATTTAAAGATTCTTGATAAAATACAAAGAAAAATTTGCAATGATGTTGGTCCTGACCTGGCATCTCAGCTTCAGTCATTTTCCCATCACCATAACGTAGCTTCCCTGTGCCTTTTCTATAAATATTTCCATAGTAATTGTTCTGATGAGCTTTACTCTTTGGTACCTAGACTTCAGGAATTTAAGCGCAATACTAGTTTGGCATCATGGTTATATTTTACAGGTGAAATGGCTGAATGGAACTGTAAGTTCTATGCTAACAGTTTCTTTTATCACATTTCTTGCTTGTGGAAGTCTCTTTTGACTTCTTGATTTCCATTCAACTTTGATCCCGAAAAATTTAAATGCAATGTCAATTGTTATCTTGTGTCTTAACTTGTTCTTTTGTTGTGTGCCCTACTTCATAATGGATTTTTTTTTCATTCTCTCACACACAGTAACTATTTGTATCATAGTGGCTTTATTGCCTTGTTTGGGTTTGTGTAGATGAGAACAGAGTTATCCCCCTGCGAAACAAGCTGGGACAGAGTTACCTGCCCTTGGCATAGTATATAAAGCAGTCCGGTGAACGCAGCGGCGTTTTACTGACATACAGCATCTGATGTGTCGATCACACTCGTCACACTTTACATGGTGCTGCGAACAGGATTGTTTTGTAAAACATGGATTTTTGGTCACTGACGACGGGATCAAACCCACAAAAAGAATGACGGAAGCTATTCTTCACTTTCCCACACCCACGAATATTACTGGCATCAGGTCCTGGTTTGGACTCGTGAACCAGGTGTTGTACGCATTTTCCCAGGTATACATTATGGCCCCCTTCCGGGAACTGTTAAAAACAAAAAAATAGAAAATTTTATTGGGATGAATCACTTGAAGGCCTATTCCAACAGTCAAAAAGAGTGATAGTGGAGAAAATCGAAAAGGGTGTTCGAACATTCAAGAGGAACAGAGCAACGGGGCTGGCAACGGACTATAGCAAAACAGGAATCTCGTACTTCCTATTTCAGAAGCACTGTAAGTGCCCCGGCGAGTTGAACATGGAAGGGAAGAAGAGGTTTTAGCCCTTGTTTACAGACTAGAGTCATGCCAGATGTTTGTACTCGGATGCCTGAACTTACTGGTAACAGTGGATCACTTACCGCTGGTAAAGATATTCTCGGACCAAGCCCTGGAGAATATAAAACACCTCCGCCTGTTGAACTTCAAGGAGAGATCAATGATGTATACATTCCAGATAAGGCATTGTCCTGGAAAACTGAATTTGGCACCTGACTGTGCCTCCCGATATCCAGCAGGTACCCCACGCGAAAACCCAGGCCGCCTTCACATTGATGTACGATAGCAACCCCAAGCTAAAGGCTATCACATGGAAGAGGATTGTTGCCGCAGTGGCTATTGACGAGGAATGCCAGACCATAGCAAAAGTAATTCAAAATGGTTTCCCCAAATCACGCAACGACATCCCACCCATAGCTCGGGTTTTTTGGCCCATGCGCAAGGAGTTATACTGTTTGGAAGGAGTGACAGTGAAAGCCAACAAAATTCTAATACCTCAACAACTTTGAGCAGAGGTACTGGAATCACTCCATGCCGCACATCAAGGCGTAAACGGCATGCTGGCGAATGCGAGACAGCGATTGTTCTGGCTGGGTTTGGATAAATGAGGACCTGGTTTTGCACATATGGTGCCCCTGAAGAAATATCCTCAGACGGAGGAGCCCCATTCGAATCCCAGGAATACAACACCTTTCTAAAAAACTGGGGTATACAAAAATGCACTTCGTCAGCCTATTACCCCCAAAGCAATGGACGCGCAGAGTTAGCGGTGAAAACAACAAGATGGATACTGTTTGATAACACAGACAACAGCGAACACCTATGCCAGGATAAAGTTGCCTGGGCTCTGCTGACCTATCGCAACACTCCTGTCCAGGACCTAGACATGTCACCAGCCATAATGCTCTATGGTCGAATAATTAAGGACCATCTTCCGGTCCTGAGGGACAAATACCAGACATGGAAGCAATCAAGAGTGATAGGTGAACTGAAAGAGTTGGCAATGGCTACGAGGCATATGTGAAACAAGCAATTCTATAACCAGCATTGCCGCCCACTCCAGGAGCTGCAGGTAGGAGACTCGGTCCGGATTCAAAACCATGATGGAATATACCCCCGTCGATGGACAAAGGGAGGGAGGGTTGTAGAAAAACACGACAACTGACAATACCAAGTACGGGTAGATGGAAGCAGAAGGACTACGCTATGTAACCGCTGGTTCCTCCGGAAAATTTACCCAGTGATGGACAGCCTGCCCCACACCACACCGGAAATCTCAGGCCCATGTATGAACTCAGAACCTCCACAACAACGGAACCCAGAAGAACCGATAGACATCAGAGGTCAACATTACGACGCCCAACAGAATGGGAAACAAAACTGAGGACCACATGGACATGGATGAAGACCAGATTTACTCTTGTAAGAATTCAAGTGAAATAATTTTTTTGTTCTTAAAAAAAACAAAAACAAAAAAACACACACACACACACACACACACACACAAAAAAAAAAAAAACATTTTGTTTGTAGAGATCTATTTAAAAAAAAAACAACAACAAAAAAATTGGAAGCCTGGACTGATAAAATTGATTGTTTTACAATGTAACAGGTAAAAGCAACAGGCTGCAATTTACGAACTGCCTACAACCTCAAAAGATGGAACTTCAAAAAAGAAGCAAAAGTAAATGACTGCAGTTTCTAAAATTTGTGCACAAGCCAGAGTGGAACAATTTCCAGAAGACCTTTATGCTGATGGCAATGTGCTTTTCTGCAAATTTTGTCATCATAATGTTGACCTTGTTAGGGAGTGGACATCATAAAGGATTATGATGACTGCGTTTAACATAAGTTTGTCGCTTCTGAGTGTTGAATTCAATGTCCACTTTTATATTTACATACACTCTATCTCTGATATTTGGCACTTTATCCCATAAATATAGCATACTTTAAAACTATATATATATATATATATATATATATATATATATAGTTAAATATAACAAACAATGAATGTTTATTATGTTTTATCATGATCCTTTCCAAGTGTCATATAATGACTTTAGTTTCAAGAGGAAAAGACAAAAACTGTCCAACATTTGAATATTTCTTTATTACATTGGTTGTTGATCTAAGCTTTCCGCTTATTATTTTTGATGACAAATATAATAAAAAAATATCCAAATGTTGAACAGATTTTGTCTTTATTTTCTCTTGAAACTAAAGACATTATATGACACTTGGAAAGGCTCATGATAAAATATAATTTGTTGTCTGTTATATTTAACAATATATATTTGAATAATGATTTGCTGCCCCTATAAACAAACACACACACACACATATATATATATATATATATATATATATATATATATATATAGAGAGAGAGACATGTTTCACTGACTAATTTAGTTTTGTCTACTTATTTTCAGTTGGATCTTTTCATATTCACGGACAAGCTTTCTGCTGTCATCATTATAGGAAAAGAAGATTACCATATTGATATATATTATGTGGATATTATTTTCAATATTGAACATATAGAAATTGCTAAAAGTCAGACCTAGAACTTAGCCCATAGAGACGACATCACGTTGTGTGTGTGTGTATATATATATATATATATATTTTTTTGATCTTCAAATGGAACTGGTAGTGCAAGTTAGCAATAGTTTCTGTAATATACTAGGTCTCATTTTAATTTTTTCATGAAAATGAACAAACTAAAAATTCTTGAAGCTATTGATATTAAAAAATTGAAACCAAAGCTTAAAAAAATTAATTATGAAAAATATTTTAAAATGTGTACAGTAGATAGTTTAAAATTTTGAGGTTTGTATGAATAACTCTTAATACTTTTTTTTTTTTATAATACTACTATATTTGTCTTAAAAAACCCCCCAAAAAAACAAAAAAAAAAAACAACACCCTGATGACAACATTGTGCTAATGTTAAAGTACTCAGAATAAATAATATGTATGAACATGGTAAATTTCTCTCTTCCTTTAATAATGACACCAAAAAGCTTTTTTTGTGATCATGAAAGGATCAATTGAAAATAGACAAAATTTGTCTAAATTATTTAATGAAACATCTCAATAAAAAACGCTGACAAAATATGACTATATATATATATATATATATATATATATATATATATATATATATATATAGATACACCTAGTGAGCCAGACAAACCTACCTAGGTTTCACCTAAACGGATTGTCAGGGAAATCGTATCGGGGTTTTTTCTTTGGGCTTCAGACCTGCATCTGTGCGATTTTTTGTCGGCAGAAGTTCATGTTTGTAGCTCTTTCTTTTTTTAAAACCTTTTTTCCCTCGAAATTGATTTGATTAACAAATCAAAAATTCAAGGGTTTTTCGAAACGAGTCTAGTTATCTATATTTATATTTATATATATATATATATATATATATATATATATATATATATATAGTAAAAAAAGAAAGAACAGTAAGATATATAAACTGGTGTTATTATTGAACAGATGTCATAATTCATTGAAAAAGGCACCCCCTCCCTTACCTAGATTTAACCTCTTTTCGAATGTAACTCATAATTGATACAATAATAGTTAATAAAAATGAACATGCTACCACCCCTGTCTAAATGATTGGATTTCTCTGTATCCTTGGAAACAAAAATTATGAATGTATGTGCTTTTAAAACTCAGTAAATTTTAAAATAAGTTATTCCAAAATTCACTTGAAACAGAACTAATGTTTTTAAGTTAATTATATAATTGAATTTGAAGTTTTTAGTTTCTGTTTTTAAAACATGGTAATTCCTGTGTAGCAATGAAACCATATTTTTAAATCAACTAATTTATAATGTATATAGATATATATAAAAAAAATCAAATGTTAAATGTAATTAATACTGTTTATTTAAAAAATAGAGCATTTACTTAAATAAATTCTATCTATTAAAATAAGGTATAAACAGAATATATATATATATATATATATATATATATATATATATATATAGAGAGAGAGGTCTGGAAATAATTCCAAAACAAGATAACTTATAAATAAAATATCTCAAGTCATTTCCAAATGGAGACACAAAAAGAAATTCCTGCTAAGAAAAACTAAATAAAATCCCATGGTTTAAATACTAAAATATATACTTCTATGAACTTTATATAGTGAGAAATGTAGCAATACCTAAATATATATTCATGTTAACATAAAAACAAATCTATTTCTATTAACTTACAGAATATAAACTGAAAATTATTACAATAAAAATATAACTGATAATGGCAAACCTGTGAATCTTGGAAGAAATTGTAGAGTAAGACATCATCAAACTCAAGACCTTTTGCTTCAAATATTGTCAGAACAAGTCCAGTTGATAATACTTCAGGAAGTTTCTCACGGCTCTCATTATTAACAACAAGAATTGCCTGCAAAATGAATAAAAATAACATTTTAGTTTCTGCACAGAAAATGGTCATAATTTTGTAAAAGAAAAAAAAAAAAGGTCAAGCCAATCCTTTCCTGCAGAAACCTGGTTAAAATACTTTTTTCAAAATTGTGAAGGTTCTTGTTTTTCACTGGCTCCAAATATCTTGCTCTATTAGCAAACTTGTTTGAAGAATATCTATAAGATCTTGTCTGTATTTTGGGGATGAGGACTTATCAGTATTTACAGATGGACTAACGTTCACATCTTTCTTTTTAGGATCACATCTTGGCCATTGTGTCCTCTCTCTTAAGGTGTCGGTTTATCTGGATTTAGCTTGAAATTCCCTCAACATTACCCAGATTGACATATATCTAATGAAGGCTGGAAGGTAAAATGGCTGAATTATGATCAGAAGAAAGACAAGAATATTAGCCCTACTTTAAGTAATGTTAATAAAAAAATGCTTATTCTCAAAGCAAACAGTTATATTGTTCTAAGAGGTAAACAGAATCAGCACCCATTCTTTTATTAGGGCCTTGTGCTACACTAAGCAAGACTTTTAAAATACCTAGATAGCCAACCAGAATGAAAGTAATTCAACCTATTTCATTGGCTAAGAGAAAGTCAAGGAAAGAAGTAAATTTTTTTGTCTGAATTTCTGGGATGAGGAGTTATTTACATTATTTATATTCGAACTATTGTCCTTAAGTTGTCATAACGTTTCAGCTGTTGTGCCCTTGGACCTTTATCAGGGGTATATTTATCTGGGTAACCTACAGGGAATTCTGAACTGAACCCTTTATTTAATCTACAGGAGTAGACTTCTTGTTCCCCTGCTCATGTCTAGGGATATTGTCTAGTTCTTATTTTATTTAGTACTGTTCAGTTACTGCTTGCCTGTTTCCATTGAGTAATAGCCAGGCAGTCTGTACTGGTTCTGTTCAGAATTCGCTGTAGCTTACCCAGATCTATATACATCTGAGCATAGTTAGAGGGTACAACAGCAGAAATCTTGTGATAACAACAAAGATGAGGATAATAGTCCAAATATAAATAGTGTAAATAGAAGTAAAACTAAACAACACTCTTTGATATTCTGGTTTGGTTTATTTTGTTTTACGGCAAAATTTTTTTATTGCTGGTAATATTTTTTTTTTGTCAAAAATCTGTTTCTAGTAATATATTTCCTTCAAAATTGTATTGCTGGCAATATATTTTTCAAAAAATCATTGCTGGTAATAGTTAATTATTTGCCCATAGCTAGGTCCCTAACAGGTATTACCACCCCAGGTCAGGGTGGACCTTGAAACACCAGCAATTAAGAGATGGTTCCACGCTCCTCAAAGCCTCCTGATCAAAGACCTTGCTGCTAGATGTAGTTTAACGTCTTACCCAGGATGTGAATGTAGTTTAACGTCATATCCAGAACTATTAATATTCTGACTGATGCAGCATTATCATAATTCCTCAATTTAGTCGAGTGTTTTCATCTTTGATATTTTTTTACTTTTTCTTTTATACAGTGAGGGTAACCTTTACAAGGCCTGGGGGCCACTCATGGTAAGAGCAAGAGGTACGGTTTATGTAGATAGGTGGAGAAGATAACAGTTAACTCTAAACTTGACAGGTTAAAATTGTTGTGATCAAGAAAGCATCCACTTGAGAGTTGGTTCTACAAAGCAGTGGTTCGTGAGAAGAAGCTGCATGAGTAGGACTTAATCTCATCAATGGCACTCAAATGGAATGAGGGTGGTTTGTTACAATGTGTGTAATATGGCTGGTCCTAGCTGTAAAGGTCAGAACTGGTGGAACTAAAGAATGTAGTTCATCTGAGCACTTTCCATTGAAGTAGTGACAGAGCAGTGAGATTCTTCAACATCTCATCTGTAAGACAGGGGTTGCAGGTTAGAAAAAAAATTTGTCACCCACAAGAACTCAGAGATGTTTTTGGACTCTACTGAGACTGTAAATTGACGACTGGGCAGCTTCTTCCCAAATATGATAGCAGTACTCAATTTTAGGCCTGTTCTGGCTCTTGTAAAAGGTAGCATAAGGGATCAGGTACTTACTTGAGCAGTACAAGGGACCAACCATTTTGCCAGAATTTTGGACTATATGTACTAGTTTCACTTGAGGTTTGGGTTAAGTTTGAGACACAATAGCTGCTCAAAGCACAGGGCTTCCCTGAGGGAACATTCATTAATGTGTTTTTTGGTTAGTCTTGCATAAGCTAAATATTGCCATTTTTTGTTTCTTAATGTAACTTACCAGCACCTCAGAATTTACAAATCAACATGTTGACTTGGATTTGCTTTCCTCACTGTCCAGCCTTGACAGAGTTCAAAAGCATTCAGATGACCTTGTGGGTGATGAATTAACTATAACCCCATTCTCATGGATGAAACATTACAAGTCTCTCATTACTCTATTGCTAGTTCCATGGAAAAAGTTCAAAAGAGCTAAATTGCTTAGTTTCATCAGTTCATATTTTTACAGGTTTTTAAATACCATACCGCATACACAGAGTTGAATCATTCTTATTCCCTTCGTATTCCATTGGTAAGAAGGAAATTCCATCTGACAGCTTCTTTCCAAAAACCACTACTTTGTGAAACAAACTCTGGAGAGGATGTTTCCTCGATCACTACAACCTTAACCTCATCAAGGCTAGGGTCAATTGTTACCTATTCTACATAATCTATATTTCCTCCTCTTAAGTCGATATAAGTTCATTAACCCTTGTTGTAATAAGAATTCTCTCACATTCTTAGGAGATGAATAGATAGATAGAGTCTTTTTCCTTTTAACTCAATTTAATAACCAGGGTTTCTCAGGAATCTTGTCTCCAGCCCACCTTTGAATTATCAAACAAAGTTTTTTAGTGCTTTTACATAGCCAGAAAAACTGACCACCCAAAACCAATTGGGTCCCAGTTGATGGAACACGAGTAGACCGAAAGGGGTGGTGGGACCCCAGCCAGTATCCATATAAGGAATTGGACAGTGAGTAAAGGAGTAGTCAGTGAGTATGTAGGGGTTTGTTTTCAGTGGTCAGAACTTAGTGAGAAGTCAGTTAGAAAAAGTTCACATTCTTGTAGCAGAAGGAAGAGATTGCTGATTAAGGGAGAAATCGTATTTTTTTGCTACTTTCCGACCCAACAAGTATCTTGAAAAGCATTTTCACTTTTCTTTAGTTGATGGTGACCATGGCCCTAGTTATTGAGACGAATATGTGGGACATAGCAAGTGCCAGTGTATTCACATACAGCCAACCTTGGATGTCATCACAGATGCTTTAGTGACATGTTGAATTACATTAGCACACACCCTACCTGGTTTGGTTCATCGGCCTTGCATTGATTGTACATTAGCACACACCCTACCTGGTTTGATTCTTTGGCCTTGCATTGATTGTACATTAGGAAAAAAAAATTATGTTTTGTGTGTGAGAGAGATGAGGATATTAGTCTAAGCAATTAATGGAAAAAGTTGAGGGAAGCAAAAGAAGTACCTGATGAGCACCAAATTCAATGTTGGATGCTTGTTGCTTGTCTCTTCTCAACAGCATTGCCAAATTTTCAAGACTGCAGAACTCTAAGAGTTTTGGTTTGGGACCATCAAACAAACCTTGGTCTTTTTGCATTGGATCAAAAGAATCAGAAAAATACCTTATGAGAAAGAGGAACAGAAAAAAAAATTAGATATCAGTATAAAAAGAAAAAAATAAACTGATTAGAGAGAAGAATGAAAAATAAAGTATCAGCAAAGTAAAAAAAAAAGGTGATTAGAGAGAAGAATGAAAAATAAAAAAAGTATCAGCAAAGTAAAAAAAAAGGTGATTAGAGAGAAGAATGAAAAATAAAAAAAGTATCAGCAAAAAAAAAAAAAAAGGTGATTAGAGAGAAGAATGAAAAATAAAAAAAAGTAAAAAAAAAAAAGGTGATTAGAGAGAAGAATGAAAAATAAAAAAAGTATCAGCAAAGTAAAAAAAAAGGTGATTAGAGAGAAGAATGAAAAATAAAAAAAGTATCAGCAAAGTAAAAAAAAAAGCTGATTAGAGAAGAAAAAAAAAAAAAGTATCAGCAAATCTGATTAGAGAGAAGAAGAAAAATAAAAAAAAGTATCAGCAAAGTAAAAAAAAAAAAGCTGATTAGAGAAGAATGAAAAAAAAAAAAAAGTATCAGCAAAAAAAAAAAAAAGCTGATTAGAGAGAAAAGAAAAAATAAAAAAAAGCAAAAGTGATTAGAGAGAAGAATGAAAAATAAAAAAGTATCAGCAAAGTAAAAAAAAAAGCTGATTAGAGAGAAGAATGAAAAATAAAAAAAGTATCAGCAAAGTAAAAAAAAAAAGGTGATTAGAGAGAAGAATGAAAAGTATCAGGAAAGTAAAAAAAAAAAAAAAAAAAACTTTAGTGAAAATTTAGTTCATGAAACTAAATATTTTAGGGTAATAAAAACAATGATTACAAAATTTTAAATGGTTGAAATTCAAGCAAATATCTAATTGATCTTTTGAATCATTTTTTGATTAAAAACAAATGAGATAGACAAACAATTTTACATAGCATATGCATTCAGAAAGTATATTGGATAATGTAAATATACTGTATTTATAGTGTGTAAGCCAAAATAGTTAAGAAAATTTTTTTTTACATCTTTTAATATTGTGGCTTCTACAAATTTGAAACTGTAATATTCTGCTCTGACCTTGAATGAAAATCTTAAATTTTTTCCTAAAAATGATGGTGTTACTAAAACTGGCTATAAAAGAGTGATGCTTAAAATTCAAGAAAACAATGAGGAAAAATTCTTCCAAAAGAAGAGAGTGGGACAATGTTTGTCAAAGAACTTTGTAAACACACACTATAGTAAAAAACAAGATACTGTAACCACAGTTCTTAGTTTAAATTTGCTTCTTAACATGTTTAATTGAAATGCATTTATAATTAAAATTGTTTCTGATTGGATTCAGTACCCAATAGAGGGATGTGTGTGTATAGGTAGGTACCTCCAAAAAAACATGATACTCTACCTTAGGTTTAAAATTAATTTTTAAAATGAAAAATATTTCTTGAAACTCTTCAGTTTTAATTTCAAGCTGAGAGATTAAATTCAATTTTTCCAATAAGCAAAATATTTTAATGTATTTCTCTTATCAGAAGTTCTGTCACGCTCTGAAATTTATCAGAGGCATTTAACACAATATGGCGACAGTGCACTACTGAATGAGTGGATAGGGAAGTTTAAAAGTAGCTGGACAAGTGTGATGCACAAAGAAGGAGCAAGACACTTGTTAACTTCCACCACTGACAAGAAGATTCAGCAAGGTCAAGAGATGGTAATGGCAAATTCAGATCGCTGCTCTTTGTTCCTTCTTAGGGCACACTGCTAGGGGAGTGAGCATGTCTACATTGTGAATGTAGCAAGAAAACTGGTGGTGCAATCAAGCAACTACAATAATACCAAATATAAACACACATAAGCAGAAGGCAGTGTGACAAACCTAAAGATATGTTATGGAAAAAGTACAGATAATTTCTGCAATAACCATTATATATATACACACACACACATATATATGTATATATACACATACACATACATACACACACACACACACACATATATATATCCAGGTAAGATGAGAAAATATAAAAGAATCTTTATTCAACAGTTGCATATTAATTTATCAAGTCAGTCTATATGTTTAAATTATTTACTGGTTTCTTAAAGAAGCTATTTATCAACTATAAAAATGATTTTTTTTCTGTAGGAAACTAACAAGTATATAACTTGTCTAGTATTTTGTTAGATTACCACTTAATTTTTCTAAGGAAATGACATCACCTAAATGTACAAAATATATTCATGTACTTCTGCTCCTGTTTAACGTCTGTTGCTGTCACTGATTTCAAACTTACGGGTCATGATCCATTTATGGAAAATAATTTCTTAATTTTTGCTTCTTCCCTTAGTTTGAATTTAATGTAAGTCATATTTGATTGAGTGATCTAAGTAAAGCTCATAAACTTTTTTACCCCACACTTTTATTTCGTAAAAAGAGGCTGTATTTTGCTTTTAAATCCGATTAAATCATTACAATTGCTGCATGAAATGCATTGTATGCACAGTGAAACACAACTGCAATTGTGTAGTGATTGACATGTTTTCAATGTAATATCCTAAAATAAAGTATATATTACACACACTAGCAAAAGTTGGGTCTCCTGAAAGAGATAGAACAAAACACATACCTGAATAGAATGTCAATAACACTTGATGCCAACTTCAGGATGCCTTGATGGGATCTGTAGTTATGGGGCAATTTATATAAAGATTTTGGACAGTGAATAGCTTGGGATCTCTTGGATGAAGCAGATTGCTCTTTAGCATAAAAGAAGAGGGATTTTAAGTCACTGAATCGGAACGAAACACCCCGCATGATATTCTGTGCTGTGTCACCAGTAAGAAACATCTGGTTGGGGTTCTCAGACAATTGGATAAGGAGACAGAGTTCAGCTTGTGTGAAATCCTGGGTTTCATCCACATAGATCTCGTGAAGAGGGCATGGAAACTGCGTTTCTTCCTGCAGTCTTTTGCATAAATTAAAAACCACATCACATTCATCAAACATTTTTTTCTGTCTCTTTTTCTGGTGATATTTCCAGAACAATTGGTACACCTATAAAAAAAGAACAAATTTTATACCAGACAATAAGATTACATTTTATGTACTTTTTGGATATTAGTAAAAAGAAAAAAGAAAATTTAAATAAAAAACACAATTTCACCAAGATTGTATCGTAAAGTAACAATTAATTTTCCATTTTCTGAAATTCTTAGATGAAGCATTCTCTCTATTATTATTTCCTTTGATATCTGGCGTTTACACATTTCTTTCCGGCCCCGCCTAGGGACCTAAGGTTAGAAATCATATCATGACACTTTCCACTGAAGAAAAAAAAAAAAAAAAAAAAATTTACATAGATGAAGCCCTTCATAAAGTGTGGGCTGTTATAGACAAGCATATGGTTGCAAGAAGGTTAATACGACAACAGCAGAAATAGATTTACGTGATTTATTTCAATAGGAACATGTGGGTTTAGGACAGCTACCTTATGGTATAGTTCATAAGCCAGCTCCCGGTCTGAGTTGATCTCTCATAGTAGTTCACACTGGTTGGTGTGGTGCTCCTCCTGCTGACTGCCCAGACTGACCATGACAGATCTCTTCCCTTGCCTCCTGTTGACTGCTGTTGTACTTCCTCGTGTGACCCCTTCTATGGCATTTTTTATGGCTTAACAGGCTCGAAAAACGACAAGTATAATTAGGAGGGAAGCATTTTTATTGGTCGAAAAATAGAAACACTTTAAAATATTATTTTATTTTTCAACCGGAACTCGTGCGGCGGGCTTATGCATAGACGATAATGATTATTTTGTGACGGGGCCTTGTCTCATTCACATCTGGCTCTCGCTCTTAAGTATGTTAGTTTATTTGCCTGCAAATCAGCTGAGATATGTCTTATTTTATTTTATAACAGGCTGTACTTGTGAGAACAATTTTTTGTATCTCTGAGGCATGGACCTTATTATTATTATTATTATTTTAGTAATTTTTGTCTTATTATTGTTATTTTTTTATCCCAACACACTGGATCAATTCACTCTTCAATATTACTATGATTTTACTACTTGTTCTTCATATTATCGTTGCTTTTTCGTTATTATTAATTCATTACTACTCTTTATCTTGTTGCTTTTTACCAGAACATTCTGGCTTGATTTTTTTTTTTTTTTTTACTGATGCTATAAAAAAAAAAACAAAAAAAAACAAAATGGCTGCATATTCTGCTGAATCATTATCTGACACAAAGTTAATTGAAAACCTTTGGCAATGCCATTGTGAACTAGTGCTTCCTGTAATATATTTCAACAAAAGGCCAATTCTATAATCAAAATCAGAAGGAACATTTCCAAATTCCTTTATTTAATAATTCTCAACCATAAATCACTTGGCTCCTAGGGGATAAATTTCAATTCTAAAAGGAGGAATTTTAGTTAGGTAAAGAATTTTCAGTAAATCATAAGTTTAATGATGGACAAATGAGAGCGGAATTGAGAGAAGGGGGACAGTTTAACAGTGAAAAAAGAAAAAGTTTGGGATAGAGACAAAAAAAAAAGGCCACTAGACACCAGAGAAGGTAGAAGAGTATTAAAAATAGTAGACAATATCAGTGTGAGAAAGATATTTAAAACAAAGTTTGTATTTGGGGAGGGGTGGGGAGTGGAGTGAGAGGCAATACGTTTTATTCTTTGTTGTTTTTATGACTTGTCAAACTTTTAAAGATTATTTAAAACCTGAAAATATTTTTTGCATTTTAAGAGATTTTTTTTGAGATAATAATGATTTATTGATACAACAAACTAATTAATCCATACCTGGGGAGAGAAGATGCGGATTCATATCTTTCTCAAGTGTATTTGCACACGTGAATATAACAAGCCTGTCTGGAATCAGGTCTCTGATTTCTAATTCTGAACCGTTATTTATTATACTACCCAAACATCAATGCTTACAGCATCTGGTATTTCCAAATGGTCACCAATCTAAGTACTAACAAGGCTTGACACTGCTTAAATTAGACAATCATCCTAGAACCAGAGTTTTCAATGTGGTATGGCCAGAAGCCACACCTTTTACACAGTGAAAGTGTATTAAAAGTAGTAGATGTTAGTGAGGAAAAAAAAAAAAAAAAGTTTGTATTTAGGAACTTCAGAAAATATTGAAATCTATTTGAAAATTGCAAAGATGCACTATGGGATTTTACAGACATTAAATTAGTAAAATGTTTTTTACCTTGTCTCTTTCTCCAGTGAAATTGGGAGCCCGTTTCCGTCCAATGCTGATATACTGCTCTTCGGAAAGATATCCATTTTTGGTGTTCAATGCTTCAAAAGATCCTTTAATGAAAGAGATTATCTCTATCCAAACCAAACTTGGGTGATATCCAGATGCAGGTTTGTTAATTTCTGGCCAGAGTTGAAGAAAAATTTCATAAGTCACTTCTCGTCTTTGGTATGTGACTTTATTTTGCTGTGCTAGGAAATCATATGGAAGAGCAAATGAACTATCTTCATTTTCATCGTCGTCGTCAAGATTTGGAAGGAAAGCAAGATGGTCCTCATCTGACCAGCCCATAACTTTGGATTTTAGGCTGTTGTCTGCGTTGCGCGGGAAGAAGTATGGTGGGTTGAGAGATGCATCCAAAATAAGCCACAGTTTCTTGGAAGTCAGGAAAAGTGGGAAATGTTGATTGGTTATCTCCTGGAATGTAGGTGGGAGGATGGGTTCTTCAACACCCATGTATTTGTTTGTCACTTCAGAGCCATGACTCAGTTCCCGAAAATTCTTGAGAACTTCATTGCACAAGACACCGTTTTTTGTGACAAACAACTGGCGCAAATGAACAAATGCTGGACGATTTCTATTGACATCGGAGCAACCAGCAGTGTCCAAATTGGCTTCATTCTCTAAAGGAAGTTCTTTGGTTTGATTTTCTGAAAATTGGTCAATTTAAAAAGGAAAAAATAAGACATTTAAAAATTTCTAAAATATTGTATCTACTAACACAAAAGAAGTTTACAAAGATATTAAGAGGAAAACTGCTAATTAAATCTCACGCAAGCTTCAAAGCCAATACTCAATGATATTAACTACGAACATAACCCCAATATGCTGTTTGGAAAATAAATATAAAATTTAGAAACATACACCCAATTAAAAAGCAAAAATAAAATCAACCTTGATAATGACTAAAAGTATAGTCGAAAGCACTTGGAATTACAGAACATTTGGACAATTTCTACCCACGAGAAAAATTAAATAAAAAGCTTAATTGCAGTGTCTTGTCTGTTGTCTTTAATGAAACATGCATAAACGAAGGATTGCTGCCTAAATATGCAGTATTATATATATATATATATATATATATATATACACATAAAGACCTAGGAAATTCTGATGTTAAGGATTTTTTATTTATTTTCTTTCTAAAAAAAAAAAAAAAAGTTTTGTGCAGACATTCACACACACATATACTACAGATTTTGTTGGTTGGATGCCTGCCTGTGGAACAGTTAACAAGTGTCCACACTTTAGACTTGATTATGACAAAAAAGCAAATTGATTTATCACTTTTGCTTAAAACACTAAGTCACATTGTGCACTATATATATATATATATATATATATATATAATGGTCATGCCATACAAAATTCATTTCCTAAACTGGTTTATCTGTCCTCTCTTATGAAATCTCATTTGAGGAAAAGAAATGTGCACAGCAACCAAAATGAACACCAAAGGCCAAATGCAATATAATAAATATACAGGTTAACATTATCGGCTATAGGGTACATTTAAGCCTAATAACCACATTCTTTGCTTAGAGAGATGGCTGGTGGGACTTAATATAAATAGATTCCAACACCTTCCTTCAAGTCTAGAAGACTGCATCTCTTCTTGTAGAGTAAGTGGCCATGGTTAAATGTAAAAGAAATGGCAGCACTGCTCAACAAAGAGAATTGATCAAGTTTTCAATAAGCAATAACAAAAAAAGAGGGTAAAAAATCATATAAAGTAAGCAAACAACATAAGCAAGGCAAATTAACAGTAATATGGCAAAAAGTTCACAAACTAAGAATTGGGTTTGACACATAAGAGCAAATTTGGACAAGCAAATGTAGCATTCTGGTTTCATGACAAAACAGACTGGGGCTGAGTCAGATGAAACCGAGAACAGGTTTATTTTATTAGCTAGTAAAAAATCCCAGCATGCATTTGTGTATTTCTACCTATAAATTGAGGAAGGGAAAATGTTTTGTAGTCATTCCACTGCAGATTGGAACCAACACTTTTCCACACCAGCTAAATAGCAGGACCAGGGTAGTGACCGCTTTCAATATAAAAGTCCATGACTTATACCAAACATCCCCGACTAGGAGACATACTAAATCATAATCATAAAATAGCCTCTCATCAATAGTAGGTAATAATAATACCTGAAGAAGCAGATGTTATTAAAAGATTTGATGGGTAAATGAGGTGGGTATGATAAAAGTAAAAAAAATGGTTACATTTGATAGAAATTTAGAACAGAAAGCATTCTTTTATCAGGAAATTTAGCATTTCCAAAGGTACCCTTACACTTTTGGATTTTGGCAAAAATTCTGGCTTGGCATTCACAAGTCTTTCTATTCAGGTCTGAATCAAAAGTATCTCCCCAAATAATCTTGTTCCTAATGAAATCAATAAAGACCATCTTACTTGAGGCGTATCCATTTTTTGCTTAAATTGCTAATTAAGTTCTATTCCTATTGCAACCTTTAGCTAGTTCTCATCATTTTACAGTTGAAATGGTGAGGTGTAAGCATAAGTTCTATATGCTAACAATCTCCTCTCTTGCACTCGCCATTTGTGAAACTCTTCTAGAGAAGATCATCTGAAAGGAAAGAAAGCAATGGGTTATTGCTCCAATATTTTATGATTCAATGTCTTTCAAAACAGACACAAAAATCTGCTGTCTTACTAGAAATAAAACGTCATACATGTTTGACAGCACTGCAGAGAAGGACTTGGTCTGAGAGACATTTTTCTGTTATTTTTTTTTTTTTTTTTAAATAAGTTCACAAATTTGATGACATATAGCTTAATATCTAGGAATTGTTCATATGTTGGTAAACTTTCTAGTCGTCTATGGCAGAATACAAAAGCAAAAGGGACGGGGTTACTAGATTGAACTTTTAAAGCCAAATAAGTTTTAATATATTTCATCATTTTTTCATTCACACCAAAAGCTAGAGTTACAGGTCATCATTAGCCTGCAAACTTTAAAAATAACAATTTTATTTTCTATTCTATACTAAGGCACATTTTCTATTATTGTTACCATCTACATTTTCTTTTGAGTTAAATTTGTTTCTCAAACTCGTTACTTTTGGCAACAATTTAGACAAACGTAGTGTTAGGACGAATAAAAAAAAATATATTTCAAGAGAAATAACTCTTTCCTGTTTCAAACAGAGTACCTCCCTTTTGCCCCTGTCCAAACCATGCTAGTCACACGATCAACACGACATTGAGATGCAAGACGCACAAAACTCAATAGACTTGGAACATGGCTATCAAGGAATAAGGACACATATATATTCTCCTGTCCTAATGGTTGTGACACACAACTCAGTAACTTGGGACTGTGATTTTGTATATATATATATATATATATATATATTGTAAGGTTCTCCATATAAATAAATGGATATTTTAAGCCAACTGTGAGTAGCAATTACTTTCTTCCAATTGCATCACACGTTTCTCCATGTGCCACACACACACACACACACATTCGTCCACGGATCGTGAATTAAAACTGCATACAAGGCATTTCATTTAATAGTTATGAGACAACAAACACACCGTTCATAATATGTAGATTGTAAAAAACACTGATAAAATTTTTCGAGATTCTACTAAGATGTATTTTATTATTGTAAAATAATTTATTATTTATTTTCCTTTCAACTACAAATTCAATGAGTGTGAATTAATTTATCTTTAACAGAGATGTTTATTTGTCTCTAACGTCTTTTATTTGCTTTTCTTCTTTTTTTGTTGAGTGAGGGTAGCAGCTAGAAGTCACACTTTCATATCCTTTCTCTTTTTTTCCTCACCTAGACAAGAAAATAAAAAAGTAACCACAAGGTCACAAACTCATTCTAATCAAGGAAACAAACCACCATTCACAATAATTGGCAAATATTACTGATGACTAAAAAAAAAAAAAAAAAATGCTTTTCTTAAAGGACAATTTTAGAGCTTGTGAAAAAACAGATTTCTGGCATTAGCCATTTTGGACTTTCATGAAATGATTAAACAGATGTGTGGGCAGCCCAATTTATAAAATTCCAGGACTTTTCAAGGATCTTTTGGGCTATTGCTGTTTTTCCAGAGCTTTTCAAGGTTTTCAGGACTTGTATGAATCCTGAACTATTTATTGAAAAGGTACAAGGAAGATCGGCTATAACAATGGGAAACTGACTGAAGTCAAGATGACAGGTAAGAAACAGATAACATTTCAGATTCCTCTGTGAACAAAAAAGGAATATATAAAGGTAAGTATTAAAATAAATTAAAAAGTTACAACCTGTAGCTTCATGTTCAGCTTTCTTTTCATCTTCATCTCTTTCATGCTGTTCACAATCTTCTGGCCGTCTCATCCCAACAAAATTGTTTGGATAAATTGGATCATCAATCAATGTTACTTTACTCCAGTAATTCACAAAGTTCATCCAAAGTCTATAAAGACAACAAGTGGTTTTCCCTGTGCCACTGCGACCAAGAAGAATAATTGGAGCTTTTGAGCTGAGGTTTATGATACGGTATTCCAGCTCCGTTACCTGGAATGGAAAGTCGACATTTCGAGAATGGTCCATCTGTAGCATACTGGAAACAATAGCAGTCGAGAAAGAGTAGAACTTGATGATGTGATACTCATCGTCTCTGTCGCTTGCTGGAGGGCAAAAATGCTGCAGGTCAAGCCGATTCTTATCAAGCTGGCTTTCAGCAAACAAGCGAGGTAAGCGCTTTGTGTCATCCTTTAAACAGTCTTGTCCATCATTGACACTTTCCAGCTGTTTTTGCACAAGACAACTCTCTCCCCTCTCATGAGATTTAACAATCTGAGCCACCACATGTTTCAAATTCTTCATGTCAAAGACAACAGCCCACACTCGAATTACTTCTGAATAGATCTGACCTGAAATTAATAAATCAATTATAAATCATCTGATCAATAATTAAGATGATTGATTAATGCAGGGATTCACAACCTGGGCAATTTCAAATGTTGAGTGAGCAATGAACAACTGAATAGGAAATGGTGGGCAATTGGAAATTTTGATAGTTAATATAGGATTTGGAGTATGAAAAACCTATTTCAACAAATGCTAACTATAAAATAAATATTCAAATGAGACATACAAAGAAGCTGTATATAAAAAAAAAAGCAGGAAGCTAAATGGTATTCACAGAGTCAGTACTCAGACATTTGACTGAAAATGTAGTGGTGTACTTACTTATATGTAACGCTCTTTATTGTAATGTGCTACATATATTCATATTTGCTGTATTAATTTATAATTTTTTGTTTTTTTTGACAGGCTTTTTTTTTTAGAATCTATTCTGTATATATTATATTTTATTTCAAGTATTACTGTAAGATAAGTATTTTGAGAAAAAGCACATTTTACTACAGCCAAAAATTTTAATCTTTCAATTTCACTTTTAATGATCAAAGGGGATGAACTAGCTTTTATGTTACTGCTAAATACGAATTTAAATAATTAGGTGCTACTTTTTACCAAAATACACGCAAATATTTTTAAAAATACTAATTTCAATAAACAAATATTGAAATAAGAAAACTTAACTTTAAATTTAGATTTAGTAATTTAATCACTTGAAATTCAGTGGTAATTATTATTCCTATTCTAACTTATAATAATGGTAATTAAAATGTTTAAAGTATTAATTGTTATTATGTGTATTTGTACATTTTTGGTGAAATATCTGTCAAATGTCTGGCCACGAACTAGGTCACCTTTCTAGATAAGATATAAATATCCCCATAAGATATATTTTGGTAATTTTATAGTTTTCAGAGGATTTAAACATTTAAATAATTCTTCAGTATTAGACAAGAAAAAAATTTTTTTCAGATAAACGAAAACCAAGAACAAAAAATTATTTGCTGATCTTTTATTACTTGTAAGTAGTGTATACTTTTTTATTAGTTGTTAGTATTGTAAACTCTTTTTAATTTTATAATTATGAACAAAAATTGTTTAATCTTTTGTCAACACTATCCCTAAAGCTAAATTATATATATATATATTGTTTTCGATGGTCAAGTTTGTTTTCATTTGTTATTTAATATAGAAATAACAGCAGCAGCTGCTGCTATATAAGTCAGCATTATTTGTTACTTCCCTTTTGATATATATATTTTTATTTTTTTAAACCATCATGAAGTCAGTTTACAAACCAGTAACAAACATTTACCAAACAATTTTGGTATGCTTTTGAATATTTACTATACAGGTAAGTAGTGGAAAATTTTTCCATGTGAAAGTGGGTGATGACATCAAAAAAGTTGGAAACGCTTGTATTAATACATCTCAGAAGCAGGCCCACAGCTGTTTGAGGTTTCCTACAGACCCACTGAACTTAAATAAAGTCAATTCAGGTTTCCTATGGTAAAAATTTTCTTTCCCAAGTGAAAATCATCACAAAAATAGCAAAAGTCATTTTGTCACAGCTTATTTTCTCTCAAAATATGGGTTTTCATACTTTTTTAGGGGTAAAATATTGAAAAATGACAGTTTTATCATCACCTAAACGAATATCAAGGAAACTTTTGATCTGAACCCCATGAAACTAGGTATTTTCTGAAAGCAAAAGATATATTCTTTCATTTAAAAGTAAAATTAGCTGGTGTAAATGACTCAAAAATTTTTTCAGTGGGTAAAATGTGAAAAAATAGTGAAAATTTTGCATTTTTTCTTGTTCTAAACAAATATTTCCCCCATTAATGGGAAATTAACATTTTTTTTTTTTTTTTGAAAATCAGAAAGCCTAGATCATAATCAAACTATTTCAGGCATAAAATTGAGAGTTTTGAAGGAAATCAACATTCCTAGGGGTTCAAAAATGCGACAAAATCCATTGTTAATTTTCAATTATGACTGCCAAGGGTTAAAAAAATTGAAAATTGACACCTAAATCTTTAGTAAAAGGCAAAGAGATTTATCTGCAATTCCTAACCACCAGAAACCAAAAGTTTTTTTTTTTTTTTTTTTTTTTTCCTAAAAAAATAGTGATAAGGGAAAATAAACCTAATTGACTTTGACGTCTAGGTCAAAGGCCAGCCAGCCAGCCAGCCAGCCAGCTAGCAATAAACGGACGGCAAACCTTAGAACAAGTTGTAATAAAACCCACCACTCCCAGATAAAAGCAAAGGGTGAATAAAAAAGGGTTCACAATTACTAGGGCTTCATATAACCTATGTTTGAACAATGGCTTGATAAGTTTTGTTTTGTTTTTAACACCCCGTGACCCGGGTGATGACAACAACACTTAGCAGACAACATTGTTTTTTTTTTCGCCGCATATCTTTTGTATTTCCCATCGCCGGTCCATTTAGCCTTTCTTTTTATTCAATGATGTTCATGCCAAATGAAAGAGAAAGGAATGAATTTTGAATGATGTTATTTTGAAGCGAAAATGAATATTTTTTCATTAAAAAAAGGGGATTTTTCTCAGAAAATTGTGCATAATTTCTTAATGCTAACCGCCGAGTGACATTTTCCACAGCCAAATCGAAGATTAATTACCAGTGAATAATTCCATGTGCAAAAAATAGCCGTCTGGATCCTATAAGGTCGCCCTAAAAGGTCCAGAAGTTTACTAATTGATCGAAAACCTGTTGCGATAATTGTATTTTTCACGGTCAGTTTCCATTATTTCATCTTGATATTATCATTTTCGGACAGCCAAGTCATCAAGGATTCAGGAAAACACTTTGACATAGGTTTTCTTTAAGAACTTTACATTCTATGAGGTGTTTAAAATGTTACTGACGAATGAGATTTTTTGCCGCATATTTCGTTTACGCGCCATGTTGGATTTTCCTATATGACAAAAACAAGGGTTTTAAACAGCTGTGGGCCGAACAGAGATTATCAAACTTGATAAAATGAGCATTGATTGGTGAGAAGCAGGGAAAATAGAAAGTTATTATTGCTCACAACTTGAAGAGACACAGCATGTAAAAGATTGATTAACCAATTAGTTTTTTTTAGGTTTGTGGGTTATTTAAGCTGAAACATTTTAAGATGGTAAGAAAAATCTTTTTTTTTTTTGGCAAGTGGCCTTAAGAACTTTTTGGAGATATTAAGGATTTTTCCAGATACAACTCCTATTTAACCCATAGCAAGAGGGAGAATAGATGGATTCATACCATTCCCAGATAATTTGCACATAAATTAATGTAACAAACTAGACTGGAATTTGAACTTGGCACTCCGATTTCTCATTCCAAACTGCTATCCATAACACACCTACACACTACTCCAAAATTACAGCTTCAGCAAAGTTTAACAAAATACCTCCCACAGAAAAAAAAAAAAAAAAAAAAAAAAAACAGAAAAAGGAAGACAGCTTTTTCATGGACAATACTATTGACATATACTCTCCTGGCAATTTTTATTGATTTAAAAGCTATTTTTTAGAATTTTAAATAAACCTGAACATATGAAACTAGTCTTTTATGCATGCTCTTTTTCTCAAGAACTGAGAACAAAAGTGCCACCAGTTCAGACCTTTACAGCTAGGACACGGAGTTGGGTCATCCTCATTCCCTCATTATTCCAATACCAATTCATGTTAAGTGCTTCCCTAAATACAAGGGTGGTGACCTCTTCAGGTCAAGTGTCAATAATTATCTATCCTCCTTATTCTCAACATCTTCACTTCTTCCGACTGCCTCTTTTATTCATATCAAAATCCTCATTCAATAACTCTTCTTTGGATTAGTCTATTGCTCTTTCAAAGGGAAAAGAAAAAAAGAAGAAATGGTAACAATGTGGGAGGAGGAGAAGAAAAAGCGAAATTGGAACAGCGTGAAGAGAGTGAGAGAGAGAGATGTTGGGGAGAGAAAAAAGAAAAAGACTGAACTATAACAATGTGGTGAGGAGGAGAAATAAAGATGTAGCAAATGAGTCGACTTAAACAGTGTAAGGGACGCAACTCTTTCCGTCTGAAAATGTCTGCAACGCAAAACGATGTACACCAAGCACGGGTGAAATGTTGGTCTCCCAATGTCTCCAAGCAACCTGCTTTTATGGAGCCCAGACACACCTCATTAGCATGTGTGTAACGCGACTTTTCGTGGACTGCACGAGACCGTGAATATTAAAAGTCACGGACGCCATTTTTGAATTTTTCTTTCCTTTCTCAACCCACAGGCCAGGAAGATGCGAGAACGTTTGCGAGGTAGGCCGTTTTCTATTTTCCCCCACTCCCCCTGATCTCATGATCACAGAGTTGACAGGGAGGTGGTGATCGCTTACGCCGGGTATTTCTTGAAGAGGGACGCTGCGAGCCTCATCGTTGCTTATGCTCCTGTCTGAGGTCTGAGGGTCGAAAGACACCGCGTCCCTTGGAAGGCTACTGATATCCGGAAGTCACTGCCTGATGGGGCTGGCGTGAACCAGAGCGATGCCTCACTGGTCTCAGATTCCGATTCGCTCTCATCGTCCAGCGGTGGTTGCAACTGCGTCGGCGGACGCAGGTCTTAATATGACGGGCACACCGTCGAAGCCCGTACCGCCTGTGGGCTGATCACCTCAGTGACGGCGTCGATTCCGTATTTCGTGGTGCACTTGCTGTGCGGATTTTTAATCCAGGCGACATCGCCTTTCTTCAGCCTCTCTCCGGTTACTTTCAGTTCCGTCAGTGGGTTGGTTTCAATGCCCTTCACTCTAACGTGGTACCTATGCAATGTGTCTGCTGGCGCCGTAGAGGGTGAGACATCATCCTTCGGGTCACGTTGTATAAGTAGACCGCCTCAGACACCGCGCAGCCCGTCCTGGCTGCGATGGTCTTGACGGTCCTGTGGTTCCTTCGATGATTCCATTTCCACTCGATGCGTGGGTGCACGGAACCGTAAGTGCACTCCCAGCCATCCATAAACTTCCCGAACTGCTCGCTGGTGAATGCGGTGCCATTGTCGGTTAATATCTCCGTTGGGGGCCACGTTCAAGAAAGATGCTGTTTAACTGACGGATGATAGTGGCTGCATCTTGCCGACGCAGCATTCGCCATATCGCAAAACCTGGATGGACCACAATGAATGAGTGTCAGGAAATGCTCGCCGTTGTGGTGAGTAACATCTATCGCCAGCCGGCTCCAGTGGTTCCTCACGCTCAGCTGCCCTTTCTTCCAGCGAACGGGTGCTGGGTCTATAGAATGGCACGCCACGCAGCTTCTGACCACTCTCCTGACGTCTGTCTTTTGTACTCCTGGGTCAACCAACTTGGCGAAATACAGTGTCCGCTTGACTCCAGGGTGCCCACTTTGTTGGTGGACTTCTTTGATTTGATTAAATCGAGCGGGATTCACGGACACAGCGCAGGCTGGTTGCACGGGCTCAATGGCTTTCTTAGCGGCGTCAAGCCACCTTTTGCGGCACCCTCGTTAAACAATCTGCTTTGTTGAGGCTAGATTTGACCAGGGACACCTCCATTGTCAGTGCGTACTCTTGCACTAAATTCACGATCGTGTCGAGCCGTCGCCGGATAAGCATCTCGCTGGTGGCTTTAGTCCGCACCCTGGCCCTCCCGGTCAAGGTATCAGAGATCCACTTATAAACGCAAGCGGAATCAGTGAACAGACGCAGGGTGGTCGACTTCAGAGGATCGCCAAGTTGATCCCCTTCATGACAGCATCGAGCTCCCGCTAGGTTTATGTGCTGGGAGTCCTTTCTGGGCGTAACCAGCAAGCATCTTCTACCACGGCTCCATTGTGAACTATCGACACGCGGTTGCAAGAGAGCTTGCGTCAACCCACACACAGAGGTCTTGGCTGTCAACGCACCATCTGCCCCGCCGCTGGGTCTTCTTGCGTACTCTCCAGCAAAGACCTCCTTCATCATGGTGTTGAGAGGGCGTCGTGAACCGTCATCCCATCCAGTGGTGACGTCAGATGCTCTCCGCTTGATAAACGCCACCGCAACACGCAGCCAGCCACCTACAGGAAGGTGTCCAACTAACTTGCCGCACAAGGAAAATATGCTTCATTGGCGTGACAACGGAGGGCATGTCTGGGAGTTTGTTTCCCCGTTTCCAATACAGGACGTCATCTTCTCCCCAGACCTGCAAACCAAGCACCCGTGCACCATCCTGTAGTCTCTCGGTTCCTTGCTGAGGAGGCCAAAGTTGTAGAGATGCTCCTTCGCGCGCCGCAGATACGACTCCCTCGTTCATGTAATCAATATATGCAGATGTTGCCCGCTGTATGCGCTCATCCTTCGTTAGAATGGCGCCAACAATCATCTGCATAATCGATGGCGCCAACATTGAGTCCAAACCCCATGCGGGTCAGGCAATACCGTTGCCCCTTGATAAGCACGGTTTGATAGGGCCACAGTGATTGGTGCACACGCGCACTTGAAGGTATGCCTTTGCGAAGATCCAGCACAGATACATTTGATCCTGCTTGTCGCCATTCCCTTAGCTTCTCGGTACACACGCCCGCCGGCTGGCAGTAAAGGGTCCACGTGCTCGTTCAGTTCTCGATAGTCGAGCACCGGCCTCACCTTTTGTTTGTTGTGCTGGAGAACCGCCATTAGCGGGATCAGGCCCTTTGGGGCCCCAATTCCTTCTCTGGATAAGGAACCAACCACCCGTTATTAATCCAGGCTCGCAATTCCTTGTCATTACTCCGCACGACGAGCTCGCGGGGGATCTTATACTCCGCACACTGTTGTACAGCTTCTCTGGCGGTTGATCGTCTGACCATTTCAAGATACCGTCCAGGACTTTGTGCGCTGGTCGAACTCCAGACGAAAGTCAGGCCGTTCCAGCTCCATTGCTGCACCTAGAGCTAGACCTGTTTCAGTGAAATGCGCCCGACCCTCTTCGCCAACACGGACACCACCCAATTTTTTGATGACGTCCATTCCCAGGAGCAGATCATAGCCGAGCAGCCCTCCGTCCACGACCAGGGCTTGTACAGCTACTGCAGGCCCATCGCCCGATGCTTTGCGCGGATGACGCTCCTCCACAAGAGGTTAGCGAGCCCCGCCAACAGTCAGAACTGGAATATTTTTCTTGTCCCACGTGTCACAACATGCCTTGCGCACAAGGGTCTGGGTGCACCCGGTGTCAACAATAAGCGAAGAAAGCGCCACGCCCGATAATCCAGACGCTCACTGCGGGTGGCGCCTTGTTCACGGGGCGATCTGGGGAGAAGACTGGCGCTGTAGCTTACTCCCCTTGGCCGTTTCCCGGACAGCTTCTTGCTTCGTGGCCCAGCTTGTCGCACCTGTAGCAACGCATACGTCTCCGTGTTCCTCGGTTATCATTATCCCCGCACCGCTTCGCAGTCTTTGGAGAAGTGGTTCAGTCCGGGCCACATTTATAGCACCTTATGTCCTCAGTTGGCGGTGCGGGTGCTTCCACAGCTGCTGAGGCGGCTCCGCGTCATCTTTTAGAATATTCCGGCTCTGGCCAGTAATTCGTCTAGCCCCAGCTCATTGAGCCTTGACGATGCTCGTAGCAGTCGACTTGCGTTGTCTGGGAGTCCTGCCAGAAAGGCGCATCCTAGGATTTGGTCGCTTGCTCCCCGAACGGTGCGGCCAGCTTCCTCAAATCGCCAGAAAGACATCTACTGTTTCATCCGTCCAAGCCGTCGTTCGGGTAAACTGCCTCCAGGCGACAAAGGGGTCCGCACCAAATGCGCGATAGAGCTTGTTTTATTTCCTCCAAGTCTGCGTCCTCCCTTAGCTGCTGATACACAGCGAAGCTCCTTTTGGTGAGTCTAAGAGGGATAACCAGTGCGGGATCTTTAATTTTACACAGCCGGCAGACCCGTTTCGGCCTTTTCCCACCACTCGACCACAGACGGGCCAGCGGGGAGCCGTCGAACTCTGGTATTAACTTCAAGTCGAATCTGTCCATGCTGTAGTAATTGTTTAAATAGCTTGTAGCAAAATGAGTCGACTTAAACAGTGTAAGGGACGCAACTCTTTCCGTCTGAAAATGTCTGCAACATAAAACGATGTACACCAAGCACGGGTGAAATGTTGGTCTCCCAATGTCTCCAAGCAACCTGCTTTTTATGGAGCCCAGACACACCTCATTAGCATGTGTGTAACGCGACTTTTATGTGACTGCACGAGACCGTGAATATTAAAAGTCACGGACGCCATTTTGAATCTTTTTCTTTCCTTTCTCAACCCACAGGCCAGGAAGATGCGAGAACGTTTGCAGGTAGGCCGTTTCTATTTTCCCCACAAAAGAAAAAAGAGAAATCTAAAGACTGTGGTGGGAGAAGGAGGAGGAGAAATCAAGGAAAAGAAAACTGGAACCATACAGTAGGAGGAGGTTGAGGAATAAGAAAAAAAAAAAAAAAAAAAAGAGAGAAATTGAGTGAGTGGCAATGGGAATAAGAAAAGAGAGGTTGACTAACCATTTTTTTTTTTACAGTTTATCAACCCTTTTTGGGTTATATAAAGCCAAAACATATTTCAGGTGCTAGGAAGTTGCTTACAGTGTTCTCAAATGGACCCCATCAAAATACTGACTAAGCTCAACACGGCTTAACTTTGGTGATTGAATGGGAAGGAGTGTTTACAGAATAATTTCATCATAGGTGACAAATAAAGAAAGAATGAGAATAAAAAAAAAAGGGAGCGGCTGCTGGGGATGATAGAGAAAAGAAAACAGAAAAAGAAAAAATTCAATAAAATAGAAGAGTACAAACCTGACTCCAAACCAGAATTACCATCCAAAACTCGTTTCATATCACTACATCTGGGAGAGAAAGCAATCGCAAGTTCCCAGACAATGCGGGATGTCCGAGAAAGCTTTATGGTGAATAGCTTTAGTGTCTGAGGCATATCCTTGACTTTCTTGTAACAAGTACGGTGCCAGTTTCCACTTGCCAGTTGCTGAATTTTATAGACAGCTTGTTTCCGCCTCTTGTAAGGGAGGTTTTTGTCATGTAATGTCTTCCATACATTGGATGTACATTCAACTTCCCATTCTAATTTTTCAAATGCATTGCTATTCAAAAGGTCAATCTCTTCCCTTTCGTCCGTTTCATTTTCACTTAAGTCTTCCAAGTCTTCAGTACTTTGTGCTTCCTCTTTTAATCCAGAGGTGCTGCGATTGTCAACATTTTTATTTTCCTTATGAAATGACAAAATATGCAGCTCTCTACACTTGTGGTAAGGAACATTGTCAATCTTTTTTTTCAAGGATGCTTTCATACCCTCTTTATTCATTTTCCTTTCAGTTTTAACCATTTCTATCTGAGGTTTTGCTTTTTTACTAGGATCTATACTGTTTCCAGATTCCGGGGTTGAGTTCCTCGAACTGGACTCACATTTTGTGGGGACAGTTTCAGCGGAGCTGTGAACCAAGTAGTTGTTACGTCGATCACTTTCATTTTGTGATATATACTGGTAGGGAATTTTCCCAGCTGCATCGGGCACATCTGAGGGAAGGCCTCGTTTGTTAAGGATTTGTACCAGCTTCAGAGAATTCTTGCTATACTTTATTCGGCATGCCACATGGAACAATGTCTGTTGAGATTTATCAACACAAGACATATTCAGGTAGGAATATTTCGTTGGGTCAGAATCATGCAGTTTTAGGAGATATTCAAACAATTCAAAATAACCTGAAATGAAAAAAAAAAAAACAAATAAGAAAAAGAAGCATTTTCTACACAATTAAAAGTAAAACTCATGACTAAATTAATATTTATATTATTCTTTACATATGGTGTTCAAGCTTAGATCAAAAGATATCAAAGAATTTGGTTGTCACACATGAAATGATACATTTTTTAGTTGGTTGTTGTTCTGGTCATCTAATGAAGTAACCTCCCTAACATTTTAAGAAAATATCTTGACTTATTCTGGACTCTTTTTCTTTCCAAATAATTTTTCTTCTATATAATAAATGCAAATGTCAGTGTGTCACACTTTTTCAACTAAAGGCCCAACATATACCATTTTGGAATCGGGCTGATTGTGACAAATTAAAAACATCCCAGGCCACATACAGACCTGCAATTCTGAAGTTTTGGATTCCCAAGTAGCCATTACTGCGATTGTTTTCGGATTTTGCCATCTTGGCTTCTACTGATAAAAACAAAGGGACATAACTTTCAATAGCTCATGTTCAAATGAAAAAAAATACTGTTTGCAAATTACAGTGTTTCAAAATAAAATTGTCCATGTTTTCAACTTTACTGAGGCTGTAGACCAACATATTTTGGAATCAGGATGACTCCGTGAGCAAATTAAAAACATTCCGGGCCAGATCTGGACCTGCAATTCTGAAATTTTGGATTCCCAAATTTTCATTACTGTGACTGTCAGTGATTATTTTACATGATTTTTTGCAATGAATTTTTTGTACAGTAAAATTTTTTTATAACTTTGAAATAAATTTGAGAATAATCAAAATTAATTGCGAAATCCAGTAACGTCATCCATGAAATAAAAATAGTTGTTTGTATGGAAAGTAAGGACCTACATACATCAAATTGTCTTTAAATTAAATGGTGGCATTGAACTTTTAAAAGATAAGCTTAAATATTAATGCAATACTTAAATGCAACAATCAATTTTGAGTTCTTCTGTAGTTTATTGTTGCCTATCACATCACATCTAATCCTCCCTATTATGATGAAGGTCTAATCAAGGGACCTCTGCAAGAGCCAGCTTAAATACCACCTGATAGTGCAGCTTTTAAGCTAGTTCAATGTATTGTTACTCATAAACCCAATGAAAATGATTACAATGAAACAATGTCAAATAATCTTACTGTATGATTACAAACTGGGTCATTCTGCTTCTGAAGCCTTTCAGAATATCAAGGCGGTCTTTGGTAATGGTATTATTGAAATAAAAACTGTAAAGAAATGGTTTCAGAAGTTTTGTTTGGGAGATTATAGTCTTGAAAATAAACCACAGGGAAGACTATGATTGGTCATCAGGCATCATCAACTGAATGCTTTGGTTGATCAAAATCCAAGAACTACAGTCCAAAATCTTAAACTCAAAATATCTCACACAACTGTTTCTCGGCAATTGAAAGCAATTGGAAAAGTAAAAAAACTGAATTGGTTTGTTCTGCATGAACTGAATGGGACTAAAAATATTGTCACTTTGAGGTGTTCTCTCTAATGCTTTCCCGACTGGAAAAGGGACCATGTTAGCATCAAATCATTACATGTGATGAGAAATAGATACTCTTTGAAAACAGTAAGAGAGTATGCCAGTGGTTAGATGCAAGTGAATCACCAAAACAATACACAAAACATCCACTGCACCCTAAAACATTAATAGTTACTGTATGGTGGTTTTTCAAAGAGGTTATTCATTATTCATTCTTGTGTCAAAGGAAAACAATGAGAATAACCTTGTATTGCAAAGACATTGAGTGTATGCCTGATAAAGAAACATCCTAGACTTGTGAATAAGGCTTGCCCAATTTTGCTGCATGACAGCGCATGGACGCACACTTCTCAATCAACAGTCCAAAAGCTACATAGCCTGAATTATGAATTTTTGTTTCATCCTCCAGTATTCACCTAATATCTCTTGTAATGATTATCACTTATTTAAGTATTTTGAGCTTTTAATACACAATAAAACATTATCCAACAAGGAAGATATAATCAAAGCATTTGAACTGTTTATCACATCAAAGGATGAGAATTTTTAAAAAGATGGGATTGAGAATTTAGAAGTATGTTGGAGAACAGTCATTCATCAACATGGTGCCAATTTCAACATTTCAGAAGTGTTTTATTCATTTCCTATAAAGTGCATCATTTCATGTGTGATAACCTAATACTTAAAAGATTGGTACAACACTTTTCATAAAACCAGATCTTACTATTTTGTCTTGTGCTAATTGGAGCTAAACTTGGATGTAGTCTCTTAAAAGCATTTATGCTTAACAAATATTTTCTGAAACCTTACTATTTTATTTACACTATTTATATTCAGACTATTGTCCTCATCTTTATTGTTGTTATTACATCTTGCCGTTGTGCCCTACTGCCTTTCTCAAGTGTATATCGATCTGGGTAATCTACAAGGAATTCTGAACCCAAACACTTTATTTAACCTTTATCACATTAATTTCTTTCTAGAGTTGTCTCCCCTGCCTCTTTTTTTTCGGGTGTAAAAACATGAATACTTACTGTTTTAAAATTGTTATAACTTTTTTTGTATTGTGCATATAGATTTTATTTTTTGTATACTAATAAAAGAATGGAGAAGTAACATTTTGATGTAATGCATTTTTTTTGCATGCATGTTTTAACGTTAAAAAAAAAAAATTGAAACATAAAATAAAATACAAATACATTAAAAAATACATAATTCTATGTACTTTAACTTTTATTACTCCTTGGAGTTTTGGGGGTGCAATAACAATCAAAAATCGTTAAGAAGGCTTTCATTTCATCAAAAAAAGTGATGTGTTTCCTCGTGTTTACATATGAGAACAGAGTAGCATTTGTTTGCTCGTTCTTTCATCTGACTCATATTTATTTGTCTTGTTGATGAATCTCAAGTAAAGCCTTCAAAATCATCATCAGAGTCCTAATCAAAGAAAAACTCCTGAATAAAAGCTTTGTTGGATATTGATGTAGCCATTTTTTCTTTACCTTTTTCTTTAACTGGTGTTACACCTCATATAGAGCCTGGAAGAATTCAAAATGGCGTTAGAAAATGTAAGTTTAACCTCGTTCCAAAGCAGCAGTAGGTAATTTCCAGCTTAAAATACCAGAAATAACAGTTGATAAGTGTTTATTTATAGCAACAGTCTCAAGGTGACAGAATGTGACTAGAGTAACGAAGAGAGAGAACTCTATGGTGACAATTTTCACCTGCAGCGTGCTAAAGGTTAATCTACGGGGGTAGACTGTTCTCATTCCACTGTTCATGTCTTATTTTTTATTTAGTACTGCTCATTTATTTCTCTCCTGTTTCCACTAAGTGCAAGTACACTGCCCTACACAGGGATTGAATTCCCAACCACTATGTTAGCAAATTCACAAATCAATATTTTTAACCCCTAGGCCATTGTCCTATAGGAAACTTAAAGCCTTAAATATAACCTGGCTTAAATAAAAGATTCACTTCAGAATTCCCTGCAGGCTATCCAGACCAATATACACCTGAAGAAAGCTGGAATGATAACTCCTTATCCCAGAAATTCAAACAGAATTTGTATTAATTAGTTTTACGCCATCTTATTATTCTTGCTTTTTTATCCCAACATGGAGCCAATACGCTCTTCATTATTACTACTTGCTTGGTACTCGTTATTAGTAAATATGTTCAGTTTAAATACAGAAATGATTTCACATTTTTCCCATTACTCAGAGGTTGTTAGCAGACAGAAAAATTAGCCATTCTGACAGACATCTATTTTTAATTCATTCAGACTATGTGTATGTATAGCATAATTCAATGACAAACCCAGAAATATTGCTACAAAAAAATAAATAAATGAAATAAATAAAAAAAAAAAAAACAAATAAAATCTATGAACAAATAATTTCTGAATAGTTCAATAAAATTTAATAATTGTCATAGATTTTTAGAGGCTAATTTTTTTTCTTTTCTTGTCTTTAACTTTGATTTCATTGCTCAGCTCAGGGCTGGAGTTGTAAAGACCAAATAAAATGATAATGTATTATTCTAACGTCTTATTTGAAACTCAAGTTAAATTGAGTGTGTGTGTGTGTACTTGTGTATACATTAAATCAGTGCTTCTCAAAGTGGTGGTCCACAGACCGGTGCTGATACACGAACCATCATGCAGCCAGAGTCCAGGCCATGCTAAAGAATCATTTGTAAAGATTAAGGTTATATAGTTTTTGTGTTAATAAACTTCTTATTTTTATGTTTTGATATTGAATTATTTTTTTGCAAAATAAATGGAAGATAAAAAAATAGTTAACTTTTATTATATTCATTACATATATCGTTTCTGGTATAAATTAATATTATCACTAAATATTACAGGTATGTGACACATTGAGAAAAAAAAAAAATGCCTGTCCACCATACCAGATAGTTTGAGAAGCACTGCACTAAATGATACAAGCACATACAAATAACCCAAGCATAACAAACACGTATTGAGACATTCCATGTAAAATCAACAAAGGTCTGACCATCACTGACAGATTATTTTTTCAAATTTGGTACATTTCTTCATGATAGAAATTGAATGGTACCTATTTTACTTCTCTAGGTCAAAGGGTTCCCAAGATATGACCCTTTAATCCTTGCCAAAAAGGTGAATTTTGGAAAATAGTCACAAAGTTTAAATATTAATTCTTTCAGTTGTTTTTTCACCTACAAAGCTAAATTATATACAGTTTTAAAGTACTTAGATAGATCTAAAAGGTGATCTATTTATTTTTTTGTTTAAACTCAAATAAGATAATTTGACCTTGACTGTTGATTTCTCAAAGAAACGTTTTTTTTTTAATTTGACAACAAATATTTTGGTAGAATTTTGACTGTGACCTGGGTTACAAGGGTTTTACTGAGTTGGGTCAAATTCAAAATGGTGGATTTGCATGCCTGCCACTATATACTAACATTTTCATATCTCCCAATATGGTCAAGTTGTATATCTTTAGTTGTTTCAGACATGCAAGTCAAACACACTCATGGTAAGTGCCTCACTAATTATTATTCAAAAGACAATAAAGTCATTCAAATCAAACCATTCCGCTTTACTCTTTATTCTACCCTGAACTCCCAATACACTGCCACCTTTGTTTACATACACTAGTAGTATTAAATGTTGTATTATTAGAATGACAAATTCAAAGTTACAATAAAAACCAACTGAAATTAAGATTTAAAGAAAATTACTCGTCGAAAATGAATAATAATGACAATACAATCCATCACTACAGATTCTTGAAAAAATGGTTAGCTCATTGTACCACTTAAGTATCTGAACCTTCCTGTTATGCTCTACACCTTGACAAATGCCAGATCAGACTGAAAATGGAATACTGCTTTCATATCTGGGCTGGAGCTGCACAGTCTTCATATTCCAGTCTAGATAGAGTTCAAAAGTGGATATTTAGTGAATACAAGCGTTTGAGTAGACCTCTTTTCAACAGTTTAAATTTACATCTACCAGCCTGTGCATTTGAGAGTCTTTATAAAGAAAATGTACTGGACAGGGTTTGAACCTCTGTCCTTCATACAGGGAAATTATAGCATGAGGTCTACCTCCCATTTCATGTGTTTAGAAAATGTGAGACAGATATAAATATCCATGTTAGACCTAACAGTCACATGAGGGGAGGGGCACAACATATTGAGGTAGATCTCACGGCATAGTAGCACCGAAATTACTGTTATTCTTGGTGTTCTTTAGCCCACTTAGCTACAGAAAGATTTCACAGCCAATCAAGGTTCAATTACCCTATTTAAGAAAGGCACATTATTTGTTAGTATACCACAAAACCTGTATGTACTAACTTTATTTTTGTATCCAAGACACAAAAGTAATTTGTAAGGAATGAATAGATTTTATTTATAATTCTACTTTATCTGACAATAGACAAAGGCTTTTATATACTGTCTTATAATACACAAAACTTGTCACAGTTTATATGTCTTAAGAATGTAGACCAGAAATACCTTACATATTTTGTATACAGCACTCTAAAATTTTGGAATATGGTATGATTTCATCAAAATCATTACAATTTATAGCAAGAATTTTAAACATTTTAAATAAAAGTTTTAAAATATATTTCAGTAATTCAATTATCTTTGAAGTTTTAATTGCAACAAAAGAGTATAAATTTAAGTGCAAAAAATAAAAATTACTTTTGTGTACTTAAATGTATTTTTTGTCATCAAATTTTAATGTTAGGATTCATGTCTGCCAAGAAAAATCTAAAAACAAAAAAAAAAAAAAAAAAAAAAAACAATCTTTCAAAAATAAAAGTAGCAATTATATAAATAAAGAATTTGAGAAAAATTAGTTAATGATCACTGAAATGGATTTTAATAACATTAGTTAAAATTATTGATGGGATGATTAATTGAGAATTGGAAATATCAGAACTATTGGCAGTACTGGAAAATTTTTTACTTAATTTCCGATTCCAAAAACAATTCTTCAGAATTTTTTATTACTACTTAAAACTTAATTTCCCATTTCTGGTACTAATGATTAAAAAGATAAATATTTATTGATTTTAAATTATCAGTAAAACTAAAATTTATTTAGAATGTTGTAAATATAAAATTATTCTTGTAAATAATCTAATAAATTAATAGTGTTTAATATTTTTGTTGTAAATTCTCAAGAACAAGAAAATGTATAAATTCACTTTCATTCACGTGTTTAGGATTTATTACAATTCTAATTATCACTTTTTAAAACAGGAAACATTGCTGAAGAGTGAAGGTAGTTTAAAAAAAAATCAGTGTCAGGTGAAAAAACGTTCTTTTGACAGTCCATCTTATTGCGGGCACATAAGTCCATTTTTGTCGGAAAGGGTTGTCAGTGATTAGGTATTAGGGCAAGCATTATTGACCAAATTATTCTGTTATATTGTATAATATTATAATAGTAGATTTTAGATTTAGAATGTTGTAAATATAAATATAAAATTATTCTTGCAAATAAACAATTGCGGTATTATTTTTGTTGTAAATTCAAGAAAAAAAAAAAATGTATAAATTCACTTTTGTCATATGGTTAGGTTTTACTACAATTCTAATCATTGCTTTTATTAAAACAAACATTGCTGAGGAGTGATGGTAGTTAAAATAAAAGTGGTGTAATGGGAAAAACTATCCTTTTGACCCCTTTTATTTTTGTTGGCACAAAGGTCCATGTTTGCCAAAATTAAATATGATCAACTTTAATTTGAGTTATATTAGAGAGAAAATAATCTTTTTACCTACTTACCTACATCCTTACGGAGTGCTATCTCAGCAGCTGCGTGCAGGGGTGTGTCACCTGGCGAAAGTGTCAGTAGTGATGGGTCCACTCCATTCTTAAGAAGTATGAGGATTGCACGATAGACTCCATTTGCAATACAAACCTCCAAGGCAGTCTTATTCAGATGGGGATCTTTTCCAATTATGGCTCCATTGTTAATAAGGCAGGTAAGGATTTTCCCATATGTATCAACTTTTTCTTTAAAATTAATACTATTGAGAAAGTCAGCGACTGTCATTGAGCTGGCAAAATTCCCCAAATATCTGCCTTCATATTTCTGTCGATAGGATTCGAAAGCCTGATGCATACATAACCATTTCTTGGCTGATGCCAATTTCTGAACTATCTTTAAAAACGGGCTGGCTTTCAGCGAAAGAAGACATGCTGGAATAGCTGGAAGAAAGTTTGGATTTAAACATTAAAGACTTCGATCAAAAGGTACACTTGGCTATAACAGTAAAAATAAAAATGTTACAAAGTCAAAGCTTTATAGACAATGCACCATTATACATGAAAGTGGCACAGAAAGTGTGATGCTAGTCTAGTGACTATTGCTTTTAGAGGGAGGTGACACAGAAATCTGAAGAGACACTGGACTAGGAAATGATGCCTTTTAAAAGCTAAACAAGAGTATTAAGAAACAAGAAATTTTTGTTAGAAACTGATGGTTTCAATCTTTAATAATGACTTCAAAACACTTGCCCCTCCATATTTTATAGGCAGAAGTACACAAACACTTGCTGGAATTTTTCCCTAGTTAATAAAATAGGCTTGTTCTTGGTTTCATTCGACTCAGCCCTGCTCTGTCTTGTCTTGAATTCAGAACACTACGTTTGTAACCCTGTATGTTCATTTAGTTGGAAATCCTCCTCCCCAAAATTTCTTGGACAGCAGGCAACGTACATCGCCAATATTCTTATGTTCTAGTGGGCCAAATATCTTGTTAGATAAAACAGACCAGCGTGGAATTGTTTCGCCATATCTTTTTTCCCATTGTTTTTAATTTTATTGAAAGCAAGTACCCCAAGCCCATTGTTGGTGGTGGGGAGGAATGGCTCTCTGATTAACAATTCTGAGCCATTATCCACCACATCATCCACACAGCCATGCTTACAACACTTGATATTCCCAAACAACTAATGTACTAATTAGGCTCGACATTGTTTAACTTCAGTGATCGTGTGAGAACTGGTGTTTCAACCAGATTGAACATGTTTCACTAATTAAAAAAAAAAAAATCCTTTGCTAGATTCTAAAGCAGTCTGATGTTTTCAACTTCATTCAAGCAACTTCTACAATAATACTTTTTTATGCCATTTCCTTTCAGGATAGTCGGTCATGGTTCTCCACAGCTTCCATTTCTTTATAATCTGTAAATTGTCACAACTTCTTGGAAAAGATAATGACGGTTTCCCATTGCCTTTTTGACAATGGGAAATTTTGAATTTTGTTATCCTTCTCCTTGATTGGTTATCACCCAACGCTAAAGAACTCAGTCTATTTTGATATTTAACCCACAGATGATAGGAGAAAAGATGGATGCAGGCTTTTCCCTAAAGGCATTTATGCAAAATTCAAGATAACAGACTAAGTGGGAATCACAAATCTGTTTGCCAATTTCACCTTCTGTTCCAATACCAACACTGGTATCAAGTAGTATAAGACTTTACCTTTTCCCACAGAGAACATTAGTCTTTGCTGGTTGGTTGATTTTATGACACATTAACCTTTGTTAGGATGTTTAATGTAGTTTTTCTTTGGTTTTTTTTTTTTGTGTACAGAGTACCCACTGAAGATCAAGCTCACTTCTCAGTAGTAATGGTCAACAAGACAAGCTTTTTTTACATTATTTACAATGTTCTGGCCTTCTTCAGGTGATTGGAATTTCAAACTGACCATTTATTTCATCTCCATATTACTGAGGTAAAGGGACACAAATGAGACATCCAGAAGAGGCATGGCATTTGGAACTAGAATAATTTTTACCACAGTGGATGAAATAAAGGGTTCAGAAATTCCAATCATAATGGAGGCCAGAAGATCAATATGGCAACAAATGCATTAATTTATTACAAAAAGCTGATCTGCCTCATTCGTCACCATATTTTTATATGAGAATAACTTCTAGAAGAAATGGTTTCTTTGACCTTATTTTTAACGCATCACAATCTTCAGGGTTGATCTTGGTCAAATTTACATAGCTTTCTGTGTCATAGTCTATTGTCATGTCAAGTTGGATTGAAATCCATCCAGTAGTTTCTGTGACTACAGTGGACAGACAATTTATTGTATTTGTATTTGTTTCTCAAATGGTCCACCCAGGCACACTAATTCATCATGAAAGATACCCAGGTGTTCTTCAAGTTAACAAGAGTAGTCTATGAATTATTTTTAAATCTAAAAAAAAAAAAAAAAATTTTTTTTTTTTTTTTTAAATCTAGCAACACCAAGCATGATTTCCATGTCAAGTCTGTTTTAAACTGTTCACTAAATTCCTTAATCTTTAAGAACGAGTGGATAATCCTTTCTCTTCCACAAGGGATTCAAATAGTCATTACTGGCCCCTCTAAATAAATTGTCTTCAAAAACCTCTTTAAATGAAAAATGTACCGCTAATCCTCTTTTGAGAATGCTAAACGAACATTTCATATTTTCATGACTAATTTTTCCTTATTAAAATTTAAAGTGCACCCAAAATTGTTGTTATTCTACAAGTGCACCCAGAAGTAAAAAATGGTTGATAAACACTGGTATAGATTAATAATCAAAATTTCCAACTTTCATTAAAGTTATACTGTAAGCAGGGAATAAGGTTCAAAGCCGAGAATTTACTAATTACCACCAATAAGAGATCTGATACTAGAAAAAAAATGTAGTTGTTCCTTAGTACTTGCAAGGTGTGGTTCCAAGGTAACTGAAGATACTAGGAGTCTACAGATACGCAAGTCTTTTACTTAAAATGATGTAACATTTGCACTTAATTTATGAACCTATCATCGGATACTTTAAATCATCTCCAGATTATTTGTAATACTTCAGACAAGGTATATACTTTTTTACCTAAGGTTCAAAAAAAATAATAATAAAATAAAATGCTAGCAGTTTAACTATCTAAAATCTATGTATTAAGTTATTAGGTTGGTGCAAAAATAATGACGTAATAATGTCGTTTTTTGACGTTAAAAAACGACATTATTACGTCATTATTTTTTGCACCAACCTAATCCTTAAAAAAACAAAAAAAACAAAAAAAAAAAACAGAAGTTTATTTGTTCCTTTTGCACACCAACTGTACATACAATAAAAAAAAAATTAAAAACCTTCACTTCAGATTGGGTTATATTTTAAAACCCTAGTACCACAAAATTTTGAATTTCATTATTCACAAATTTAGGGGATACATTTAGAGTCGACTGAGTTAACTTGTGTTATTCATTCCTGAGAAGTAAATAAATTCAAAATTTAGTGATTTGTCAAATCTAGTCCAATCTGGTAATCCTGTCATTAATCTGTAAATCTTATATTTGTCAATCAAGACTGAAATGAATAAAATTGGATCTGAAAACATATTGCAGTATGTTTCTGAAAAGTCCACATGGAAATTAAAAATAAATTTTCTAAAGTGGAGATAATTGTTTAAAATTATTGTAGATTGGTTATTTGGGATTAATTTTGTGTCTTTATTTGATCTAAGAGACAATTGAAATTTCTGGAAGGCATAATGAGGAAGGAGTCTTAGAGAATGTAACACTCACTGGACATATTGAAGACAAAGTAAAACAGCAAGTAATCTTTCTAACAAGTTTATCTAAATATGGTTGTCACAGCAGAAAATATGAGAAATTAAAATTAAAAAAAAAACAATTCCATTTCTCTAAAAATCTTATTTTGAAAGATAGCATTTTTTCTAAAATTATCACTTGCTTTATATCTATGATGGAATAAAACTGATAGTTAAAACTATCTAAAAACCAAAAAACCATTTCACTGATAAACAAAAAGAACCATTTTACCAATAAAAATAAACAAAGGACCATTTTGCCAATATAAAAAGGACCATTTTACCAATAAATATATACAAAAGAACAGTTTTACCAATAGAAATAAAATGAACCATTTTAACGAATTAATATAATTAAAAATATGAGTAATTCAAAAGAGGAAATAAATAATAAATGTTTTTAAGTAAAATTGTTTTTATTAACTCACCCAATATGTCTGAATGTTCAAGCTGATCAACAATAAGATCAATACTTTTACTGACCCATTGTTCATGTAACTTTCCTTTGTGATTCAATCGGCAGAGTTCAACCAGGCTCTCACAAATCTTGACACCGGCACCAAATTTCTGCTTTTCAAGAGCATTATTGTAGATCTTTTGACATTCAGTGCAAGGATCCAATGGCTTGCTGGCAGCATCAGCCTTTGGAACCAAAACTGAAGTCTTTGTTGTGGACTGTGATTTTGAAGAATTCATTTGTTCAGATTTTGCATTTTTCTTGTTGGAAGAGGTTTGACGAGAATCATTGATTGTCAAGTAGTCATTTTTTGAAAGGACTTTCTCAGGAGGAAAATTTTTTGCTAAGGAATCAGAATAATAGCATCGGTTATATTAATACAGAGTGGACATCACCAATTTAAATTTACATACTAATCATCACTACAACTATTACCATAAGATAAATATTAGTGGATAATCCCAAAATACTAAATAGTACTCACTATAAACAAAAACAAAAAAAATACTCAAAGATTTTACAAAAAAAACCCCACAATAAATGAAATATTTTTCACCAGTGGGGAAGGAATTTTAAAATACATATAAAATAATACTTGTCTATATTTCTGAGATGAGGTATAACGTACACTATTTACATTATTCAGACTATTGTCCTCATCTTTGTCGCAATATTTATTACGTTTCAGCAGTTGTATTCTCTGGCCTTCTTCAGGTGGTTGGAATGTCGAACTGAAGCCTTTATTTTGATCACTGGGGTAGACTGTTCTAGTTCCATGTGCCATGTCTAATGGATGTCAGTTATCAGTTATTTCATGTTAATTCTTCTCTCCAAGTTTTCCACTGCCTTAACTGGGTACTGAACTCACACTCTTTGGGTCCTGTCACTGGATCTAAGCAATGCCTTTATCCACTGTGGACACATGGCACAGTGGATAAAGGCGTTGGTTAGATCCAGTGACAGTGGTGTGAGTTCAATAACTGGTTAAAGCAGTGGAGAACTTTCAGAGGGGAATTAACAGGAGATAACTGACATCCATTAAAAATGGCACGTGGAACTAGAACAGTCTACCCCAGTGAGCAAAATAAAGGGTTCAGTTCCACATTCCAACCACCTGAAGAAGGCCAGAGCATACAACAGCCGAAATGTGGTAATAAATATGGCAACAAAGATGAGAACAATAGTCCGAATAATGTAAATAGTATAAAATAATACAATTTATTTTACAGTGCTGTTAAGAAATCTGATGCCTATGGACTAATTTTCTTTTTCCAAACTACTCTACATATATAATTAATTTTAAACATGTTTTATTATTAAATAATATAGACATGTTCTGTTTATCAATTTTTCTTTTTATTAAATCTTTCAAATTTCTAAATAAGTTGGTTTGTTTTATGGGTAAATTTGCCAAAATTCATATTCTAAACTTCCCCACACCCAAGTACTTTTGAATGTTGATTCTATTCATTTTCAAGAATTGTTGTGTTTGTAGTTAGTGTGAGAATGCCAGAATTAAAAATCAATTGTGTAACAACACACAGAACAATCTTGGAAAACAAATGTAGCAACATTAGAAAGTACTTGGGAACCAGGGTCATAACATATCAAAAAGTTAATACAAATTTTGGCAAATTTACTGATAAAACAAAACAACTTATTTGGAAATTTGAAAGATTTAATATATTATTTTATTTTGTCCATATTTAACAAAACATGTCTTCACTATTTACATTATTCAGACTATTGTCCTCATCTTTGTCACCATGTTTATCACAATGTTTCCTCAAGGACACATGGCACAGTAGACAAATGCGTTAGTTAGATCAAGTGACAGGACCCAAAGAGTGTGAGTTCAATACCCGGTTAAGGCAGTGGAGAACTTTCAGAGGGGAATTAACAGGAGATAACTGACATCCATAAGACATGGCATGTGGAACTAAAACAGTCTACCTCAGTGAGCAAAATAAAGGGTTCAGCTCGACATTCCAACCACCTGAAGAAGGCCAGAGTGTACAACAGCCAAAACGTTGTGATAAACTTGGTGACAAAATGAGGACAATAGTCTGAATAATGTAAATAGTATACATAATACCTTGTCTCAGAAATATAGACAGAAAACATGTCTTGCTGCTGAAATACACCTTACTTATATTATTACTTTGTAGGTGATACATGTATATTTAAATTTGAAATTTGGCATTCTGATGAATGACTGGATTAAATTTCTCTCTAAGGTACTAACAATGTAACAACATTAGTAATGCTGATAGGCTTTTCATGTAGTGAGTCCCTGGGAGAAATTCCCAACTAGAGTTTCTATGTAAATTGTAGGATATTATATGGAATAATGTCATGAAAGATTTCTTTCATGTTTGTTGGTTGATTTTGTTTTGTAGCATATCCACCTCTATGAGTTATTAATGCTGAAATCTATATAGTTTAGACAATTATAAATATTTACTTGACACCCCCACCAAGTCAGGATGTGACACAAGGTCAGTTTTAACGTGGGGAACCCGAGTGGAAACATTTGGGCCACTGGTCTAAGCTGGTCATAGCTTGTCCAAATTGGTCAGAGCTGGTCTAAGCTAGTAATAGCAGTGATACCACCAACAACAGGGTCAGAGCACAGGTGCTAAGTAAGTATAGTTTAGACTAGTATAAAAGAAACAAAAGAAGGGAATAGTCAAATGAAGAGGAAACAGGTGAAACAAGATAGAAAAATTAATTAAATTAAATTGATTAAATTAAATTAATTATATCACTCTCGTTACATTTCTATTATCAAGCAATTCACTGCTTCTGTATGTGATAATCAGTGGTTGGTTGATTTTATTTGACGGTATATCAACCTCTATGGAATGCTGAAATTTAAATATTTTGTAGGAAATTTTATGACTTTAATATATTTTGTACATAATTTTATATTTTCAAAGCAAAGGTATGTTTTGTATATATTTATTTAGTGTTGCATCAATTGTCATTTTGCTAAAAAAAATTGTATTTTTGGTCATTTTATTATAAAAATGTATTGTTGATTTTTGTTTGGGGGTTCACTATTTCTCTATAGCGAGACCCTAATAGATGGTACCACTCTGGGTCAGGGTGAACCTGGGAACAACAGCAATTAAGAGGGGGTTTCACCCTCCTTAAAACTTCCAATCTCCCGATCAGAGGCTTTGCTGCTGGATGTAGTTTATCATCATACCCAGGAAAATTAGAAAAATATAATAAAAAATTAGACAGATTTTGTCAGCACTTTTTAATTAAACTTGTTTGGAAATTTTATTTATCTTATTTCTACCGATATAGATACTCACGAAAGTTTTTTGACTGGGCTCCATACTCCATGAGGACCTGTGAAGAGAAGGAAAACAAATAAATACATTATAGAGAGAGAAACACATAGTTTTAAGGACCTATTCAATATTTTTGAGATCATTAGGTACAAAATGGCATCCTCAGAGAAAGAAATAAAAATAATTGAGTAAAAGCAAGTAATGTGTAAAATGTCCAGCAAGAAATGGGAAACATTTGCTAACTTTACAAATGAACACAAAAAATTAAAAAGAAGTACTCAATAGTCTCATGTGTGTTCTTTCCACAGATTTTTTTTAACATGCACAAATTGCCATGACTTCTTGCAAAAGATAATGGATTGATATTCTGTTGCTTTCTTCATGTATTGGGGTTCAAGAGACTTCAATCTACCCTACTATTTGATCCATAGCTGGGGGGAGATGGATTTGTGCCTTTCCCAAGTATATTTGTGCAAAAGCAGACAAGAATCTAGGTTGGAATTTGAGGAAAAAAAAAAAAAAAAAAAATATTTAATATTTATTCAAGGAAACATTCTAGCTACAATAACTAAAGTCGTCTCCTTTATAATGTAAGTCATTTGAACTAGTGTCTTCATTTTTGTTACTTTGATCCCTTCTGAAATGAATTAAGAAAACTTGTAAATGAGAGTTCCTCATGAGCTTTCACATGAGAACCAAACAACATTCTCCCATCTGCAGTAACTTTTATAAACCAGGCACGTCAACCTTTCATTGCATTGTTACAAGTGATGAAAATACTCAAGAGCCACTCCAGGTAGAGGGTTACAGCATGGTGTTGTATTAGCATAGGAAAAAGACAAAAAGTGAAGTTCTTGGGGCTATGCAGCAAAGATAACAGCTAACTCTAGAAATGAAGAGGTCAAGATTTAATTAGTGAATAAAATGTCAGAGTTCAAAGACATACTTTAGAAGGAACCAGAAACTCAATCCTAAACAGGGAACAAGGTATAAATCTCTACTCCTCTTCAAAAGACCAAAGAGGATTTGGTTAAAATTATGCACAAATATTTAATGATGCAACAGGCATTTGATAATGATGGAAGTCACAAGAAATTTATACAATTATTAAACTAAAAATCATATACATAATATTACAAATATCTCATATTAAAATACATAAAATTAAGGTAATTCTGAGATGAGGAGTTATTTACATTCAGACTAATATCCTCATCTTTGTTTCTGTTATCTCAGAGTAGTCTTCTGAGGTGAATTTCTGAGATGAGGCGTTATAATTAATTACATTATTTACACACAGGCTTTTGTCTTTATCTTGGTTGTTGTCATGTTTCAGCTATCATGCATCCTGGCCTTTTTCAGGTGCTTATGGATCCCAATAACTTTCAGATTTCAAATTGAACTTTTTATTTAATCAACAGAGTAAAGATTGTTCTCATTCTATTGTTCATGCTGAGGAGATATCTTCTCTGGTTATTTAGTACCATTCACTTATTGCTCAACTACTACAGAATTAAAGTGTTCACCAAATACAGAGCAGACAAGCAATACCAACTATCAATCCCCCTCAACATAGACAACAGACCAAAAACAAGCTACCCCATAGATGAAATAAAGAAATAGTTTAGTTTAGAAATTCTTAAAGGTTAAACTGTTAGTTTCTTTGTCTGTTTAGCCATATGTCAACTCCTTATGGGTCATTTAATGCTGAAATTTAATTTTCTTCAGAGAATTAGTAATTTCTTTTAAAAAAAAAAAAAAAAAAATGTATTACTGGTAAATTTTTTTTTTCTTTACAAAAAAATGTATCACTGGTAACTTTTTTAGTAGAAAATGTATTGCTGGTATTTTTACTATAAAAATATTTATACTTTGGGGATGGGGCGTAACTATTTGCCCATTTCTGGGATCCTAACAGGTGCTACCAACCCAGGTCAGGGCAGACCTGGGAAAAACGGCAATTAAGAGGTGCTTCCATGCTCCTCAAAAACCACCTGATCAGTGGACTTGCTGCCAGATGCCATAATCAGGATGATTGACATGCAGGTCAATAGAGCAAGTGGAAATAATTGAAAAAGATGAGTTCAGATAAAAACTTACCTGGATCACCCTATCTTTTAAGAAAGTATGTGGTTCGTTTAATATCCGATAAAGCGCTGTCTTGCCACTGCTATCAATAAGGTTAATTTCTGAGAGTCTTATGGTACGCTTCTCAAGAATATACATCAGCAATTGACCATAACCTGAAATTGAGATGAGCTGTTTTAAACATTGTCATTGTTTCTATGCCAGGGGTGGCCAAACTGCCACTTATAAGCCACATGTGGCTCTTTGACCTTTAACATGTGGCTCATGGAAATATGTTGGCTGAGCTCCTTTTTTTCATCACAGTTAATATAAAAGGTAAATAAAAATTTCAAGGTTTATAATTATTTACTGGGTATGAATTGAGACACCACTGGAATAAAAAGTAAATTTAATGTTTGTGGATAGTAAAAATATTTAAGAATTTAAATCCTAATTTTAATGCTAGATCAGTGTAAGGCATTGTTTTTTGATGCTGAGGGAAGGAATAGTGGGAGGCAGAGAGATTAAGGAAATTTCTGGTCAGCATGTGTTACAGAGGAATGTCAGAAGACTAAGGACATGGGGGAGGGGATTAAACATTTGGGTGCACCAGGAGAGTGAGTGTGGTCACATGTGTATGCAACAAAAACATGTGTAAATTTTGTTCATATCTTGCGGCTCTCAAGCATCTGAACTTTATCGTATGAAGGCTCTTCAAATCAGACCACCTTTTTTATAATGTTCTTATCTTGTGCATACGTGTGTGTGTGTGGGGGGGTCACAGTATTTTGACAGTGTGGCCTCTGGCTTTCCTTAGTTTAGTACTGCATTTCCGAATGTGGCCAAATCCTATATGTGCATGCAATGCCAATATAGGATTTAGCAATACTCTGGAATACAACAAACACCCAAGGAAAGAACAAAAGTATATGAGAAAAAAACAAATAAAAGAAAGCGAAAACTGCCTACCAAATTCTTTACTCAGATTATCCAGTTTATATGCTAGTATTAAATATTTATCAAAATTTTTCTGTATTAATTCATATTACACCTTTTTTATATTTACATTTTAATCATTTATTTATTTTAAAAAGAAATAATTTCCTGGCTTTAACTGATTTCAACAATTCTCTTAAATGGACCGACTGAATTGTCGATCAAGCAACAGTCAAATTAGTATAATTTTTAAGTGATACATAATTTTAGAAAAGACAATTTTAAAATTTAAAGGTAAAAGTTATCTCCCTTTAATTTTTTTGTTTGGATTTTTTGGTGAAGTGAGTCATTCGACAAGGTGAAGATTCAATTTAATGGTTTTTGGTGAAGCCAGTTTTCAGAGAAATGACATTCACTGTTATGGACCAAACCTTCAGTGAATATATTAAATATTTAAGGGTCATATAAAAGGAAAGAAAAAGAGAGAAAAAAATAAATAAAAAGATACTGACCATATCGAGAAGCCATAATTGAAGCAGCATGTAAATAGGTATCTCCTTTATAGATAGATAGGTTTCGAAGGTCAGCTCCTGATGCGAGAAAACCGATGAGAGCTTCTTGGAAAACATCATTGCTAGACAAAATTGCTTCCTCAGAACAAAAACAACTAATATTAAAGACATTTTCCTTTATCTTCCATGGCATAGGGCAATCTTGCAAAAAGTAGATGAAGATATATCTGGCAAAAAAATATTCTTTCTTCTTCATAAAGTTTGCAGATGCAATCAGCAGGTCATCAAAATTCATATCAATGAAATTTATTTGATCTAGAAAGAAAAACAAAAAGAAAAGGTTTTTTTATTTCAGAAAATAAAATGTATGAAAAACAAGTATTAAAAAAGTCTAAACAAAATCTGAAGAAAAAAAAAATCTGAATAAATAAAAAATAAATTAAAAAAAGTATTAACAAAAAAAAAAGAAAAAAAGATGCTTGTTACTTGCTTGGGTGGGTTAGCTGCACTGGCATGCCTAACTCACCTAGCCCTCATGCTTGGCCCCCTTGAAGCTATTCAGCATGACAGTGACCACAACCCAAGAAATGGTATAGACTAGCTGGCCAAAATACATGTTGGTAGACAGTTGGAGGTTCCTCAGTTGAGGAAGGCCAATCACATCAGGCCAACATGCATCCATGTTGGTGGGCCAGTACACCACATGGTTGTCTATCAAGGTGGCAAACCCCATCCCAAGTCAATCTTTCTATTGCTATGATACCCACCAAAGATTCTAACTCCTCACCCATCTACTTATCCAATGTGGTGGCTGGCAATAAAACATAGAGGCTTTGGAACTGCGCTCCAGACATATCTGTCCCCCAACCAAGGGCGATCCTAAATATGACCATTAATATAGACCAGCACTTGGATATACCCTATTTCCGATTTTGTTGCCACTTGATCACCAAAAATTCCTTTAGAAGATTGGCTTCAAAAGAAACCATCTGCTGGTCTATGAAGCAGAAACACTTGAGATCAAAATAAAATCACCTCTCCCCTTTCTATGTGAGTGTCCATAGTATCACATATAAAGAAAAAAATATTCAGTAACAATCTCAGGTCATAAATCAAAAGATTATTACAAGAATCCTTAAGAAAAAAAAAAGTAAATTTCTATTAAATAGAAAACATAATCCAGAGCATTATGTGCTGTCCATGATGGAAAAAAAAAAAAAAAAAAATTTTTCTCACAAGCTCTTATGACTTCAGATATTCTCTCTCTCTAAAACTCAATAATTAAATAAGCATCAATCTGATAAATAAAAAAAAGGTAGAAAAACACCCCCAAAATACAATACAATTTTACTTACTTTCCTCGATTTTCAGGCAGCATAATTCTCTGACGATATCCTGTCTTAGAGAGTTTTCAGGGTCAACTTCCAGTAAGGAATATGCTTTGTATAAAGTAACATAAGCCAATGCCTCATTTACATGTCGATAAATCTTACTCAATCGATAGTGTACCTGAAATTACATAAGATAAATCGTAAAATAAAATATGTTCAGACAATATAGGTTTCAAATTAGTCCATTCAAAGACATACACTTGAAGACAATAATATCCAAGTATTAATTGCACTACAAGACTTGAACAAGGAATTATTTGGGTTATAAAATAAACAATTACTTACTAAAATAATTTAATTATGATTAGACAATGAATTTTGTAAAAGTTAAATGAGCATGAAGCTTTGTATGCTTCACATACAGGTGGCTCTTAGCAATGTGAAAAGTGAGCACATAAGTACAATTCCTATAACACTATCAAGTGATGAACATTCATGAATTCAATGTGTACTTAAGGAATTGCTTGATGTGGCAAACAGTGAGCCACCTGTGGTTGTTGAGAAAACCTGTGATATACAGTGAACTATTCATTCCACAATTTAGTGTTGGAGTCATTTCCTTAAGGATAGAGAATCAGCTAGCTCACAAGAACAGATTATAAACGAGTCAATGATCAAATTATGTTACTGCTAAATTAAAAATTGTGAACAATTTGTTTAAATTTCTGGAATGAAGAGTTTACATTAGTCCAATTGCAAATAATGCAAACACATTTCAGAAATTATTATATATATATATATATATATATATATATATATATATATATAAATATATATTTATATTTATTTATTAAATAAATTTTTATGTTTAACCATTTTTAATAAATAAATTATATATATATATATATATATATATATATATATATATATATATGAAGCAATAACATAATGTAATGGAATTAATAATTATTAGATAAGACGAGCCTAAACGAGGGTGGGAGGAAATCACATTCTGTCCTAAAAACAGTGCAAAAATAACACAGGAAGGCAACTTGGACTATTCATATAAGTTTCAATTCTATAGTTTATTGAACCTTCTTAATATGTTTCATAGTATGTTAGAGATTAAGATAAATTTTTCTCATAGAAGTACATCAGTAAAACAACTCTTATTTCACCATGTAAGTACAGGTGGAAACAAAATTTGATAACAGGGCAAAAAAGTATACAGTGGGGGGTGAGGGGGGGTTCAAGCCTGAAACTTTACTCATTTTTGAATGTGGAATTCAACAAAATCGTTATTTTGTCTATAATATTAAAACTTTCTTATAAATGCATTTAATTTTTCTGAAAATTTCATCAATTTATACAATTTTTGACTTGCCCAAAAAGGACTGGCAGTATCAAAACTTTGAAACTTGTTATACAAATGAAATCAGTGGTCAATTTTTCAAACAAATGCTTATTGTAAAGACTAAAGATTCAATTTTTAAATATAAACAAGAAACAACAAAAAAATTGAAATGAGTAAAACTACATTTATTTAAACTGATGAAAGACTTTCTGAGCAGTTAGAAAAACCCTACTGCACTTCCTTTCCTAATGGTGATTTGCAGCCTGAATTTCTTTATAGGCTTCAATAACCAATATTTCTGGAACATTGAAACTGGCATTAAACTTAAGACAAAAGTTGACTCGACCTGTACAATATAATCCACAAAAAGCCATTGGAAATAATCATTTCTATCCTTACTTAGAGCTAGAAAGTTGATTATTGCACTGGTTGGAGATGTAATGACAATGGAAAAGCTGGAATCATAGTATACAGCAAACCATTAGCCTTGTCTCATATCTGAAGATCATTTGAGATGGTTCTTCTTCATCAAAGCTACCAAAGTTAGTCGCTGGGTCTTCAAGTTCCTGTGATCTAATTGCAACAGCAGTGAGTTCATCAGCTACAAAAAAGCATCATGGGAAGAATATAAAAAGGCTCTTAAGTCATCTCCTCCTTTAGTGGCTAAAATGTTCTTGGCTGTGTTAAATGTTTGTTGAACTTGCTTCATCAATCTTGACTGTTCCATCTTCATATTAAGATGAATTGCAGAACCATGCAAAAACCTTCAAGTAAAAATGTACAATTCTTGTATCACAAAAGAAAAAAGGAAGAGTCCTCCTTAAAGATTTTGGGGACATTTTTTTTTTGTTAAATCATCTTCTAAGCATGTGAGCTCTTTGCCTATTTAAGAATTGCTTTCCTCATTTATCTCTGTGGGGAAAATTGTGAAAATGGCCTACCTCGGAAATGACCGCGAATCTGTGCATTGTGCAAACTCCGGTTGCTCAACGATAAAAGAACCAAAATAGCGGCTCCCATGTTTTATGCCAGGTGGTCTCGGACAGTTAACACGAAATCTCCTTGTCTCGTCATTCGCTTGCAAATCATGGTCGGTCCTCAGCTGTATAAAGCAGATGCATTTTTGTTTCTGGGGACTGGGTTTTTTTTTTTTTGCCTGTGAGAAGGTTGGATGTGTGACACTATTTTGTTGGTTACCCTTCTTGTGTTTTCCTATTTGCTACTATCAGTTGAGTCGTTGCTTTACCACAACAAGCTATTTCGGCAATGGACAAGTTTGATCTAAAATTGATCCCAGAATTCGACGGTTCCCCCACGGGCCCGACTGTCATCGAATGGTTTGAGAAGGCCGAACATGTTTGCAGGGTGTCCAAAATAAAAGAACCTGCACTGGTCATCTCACTGAGACTCATGAGAGGAGCCTACGCCGTATATCAACAACTCTGGGAGGATGCTGACCTAGAGGAGATCAAGAGTGCCCTATATACGGCCTTTGGAACAGACCCCTTCATCGTTGGAAGATGGCTCGAGCCGGGTGAGACGGTGGATGTCTACCTGGCCAATTTGCGAAGACTGGTGGTGCCGTTTGGCGGAGCAACGGACCGCATACTGGGATGCGCCTTCCTGGCAGGACTTCCCGACGACACCAGTCGGCTCCTGCGAGCGTCTTCAAGATTGGACACACTGGGAATTGATGAATTGCTAGCCAGGGCCCGAAACATCTTGAAAGACATGGAACCGATCACGGCAGCCGTGAGAACACCCAAGACACCGCAGGAGGGCCTAAAGCGCTACAAGTGCAGTGGACCAAACCATTTCTCTAGAGACTGCCGGAGCCAAAGTGATGTAGGAGGTGGGAGTAGCCGATGGACACAAGCATGACTATGCTGCTATCGCTGCAATGAGTTAGGCCATGCAGCACAGGATTGCTTGGGAAATGAGTCTGGGGACAAGGTGCTGTCGCAACCCTTGCCCCCTCTCAGTTAGTAAATGCAGCATTGCCTGTTTTCAACGTGAGCATTGAGGGTAAACGATGTTCGGCGCTCGTCGACACTGGATGTTCCCGATCGATCGTCAGTGTGGATCAATGCGTGACATGGAGCAGTCAACAAATCGAGATTCAGACGATTGACAGAGTGTCCCAGGCCTGTTGTAGTGTCGGGACTGTGTTGATCCTCACAGACAGAGGGAATCATGCCAAGGTTGACGTTTTGGTGGCACATCAAAGGCCCCTCAGTTACGACCTGCTGCTTGGGATCGATGTGATCTGAGCATTAGGAGGCATGATAATCACACCAGCTGGAAATGTGGAACTGGGTAAAAGAAGATAGGTGTGTGCAGCCCTTTGCATTAGTGAGCCAGATTTTGAAGTCTCCTTCAATTCCGATGAGAGGGTGTGGACCGCCAGGTGGAAATGGGCCCAAAAAGACCTACCAGTTCAGCTTCACAACAAGGTCGCAGAGTACAAAGTTCCTGACAGCATCAGAGGAAAATATGAGAAAGAGCTTCAACAGTGGATTGTGAATGGCTGGTTGATTCCATACCCCCAGGAAAGACTGGGACCCCCAAAGGGTCTGATTCCCTTGATGGCAGTCATGCAGGAGCAGAAACAGAAGGTACGTCTGGTACTCGATTACCGCGAATTGAACGACTTTGTAGATGCTTTTACTGCCGATGCAGAAGTGTGCTCACAGAAGCTGAGAGCATGACGGCGACAGGGAGTCAATGTGTCGTTTCTGGATCTGCGAAACACATCTTTAGATTCACATCAACGAAGCACTGTGGCCATTTCAAACAGTTAATTTCAAAGGCCAACGCTTCTGTCTTACGTGGCTAAAATTTGGGCTAAATGTGGCACCACTCATTATGAAATTCGTTATAGACGCCATCACATCGCAAGACTGCACAATTGAAAGTGCCACATCAGCATATGTTGATGATATTTTCATTAATGAAAGTCTGGTCTCTGTATCGCATGTACGACAACACTTTTCGGATTGCGGTTTGGTGTGCAAGGATCTAGTGCGACAGAGATGGAGCAAGAGTTCTTGGCTTGCAAGTCTGGGAAGAGAATGGCACCCTCCGATGGAAACAAGGAAGTCAGATTCCTGTCGGCGCATATTTTCGTTGTGTGGGAAACTTGTTGGACATTTCCCTGTGTGTGGATGGCTCAGGGTGGCAGTTGCATTTGTCAAGTGCCTGGCAACCACAGCAACCAATGGACGGGATGATAACATCAAAGATCCCTCTCTCTGTTGCATACTAGCGGAGATGCTAAGTAGAGTGCGGGAACTGGATCCCGTTGGAGGAGACTGGGTTATGGGTGGTGACGAGATCACAGTCTGGGTAGATACGAGTTCCGAGGCAACAGGAGTGGCACTGGAAGCGAACGGAAATATCATCGAAGATGCGTGTTGGCTGCATCCGACTAATAATGCCAGGCATATTAATTTAGCTGAACTCGATGTGGCACTTACAGTCAATCGAGCCCTTCAGCGTGTGTGCACCGGTGGATTTCCGACACCTTGACCAGGAAGGCACAGGTGAACACAAGGGCAGCTGGCGAGATGTTAGTTAGGCGACGGCTGGGCATTATGCGATCGCTGGTGGAAGAATATCGATTGACCATAGATGTGATACTCGTAAAGTCCTGTCAGAACCATGCGGATCACCTCACCAGAGTACCGCACAAGAGAGTATGATCAAGAGAGGAGAACCGGCGCTCGAGAGCTGTGCAGTGGTAGGGAGACAACTGGACGAGGATCAGGTGGCCAATGCACATCGTCAAAGTGGACATCCGGGCGTGAAACGAACTGTACTTTGCCAGATTAGTCAACCCGCAAATGTCCAGAGAAAGCGTTAAATCTGTTGTGAAGGCCTGCACAACCTGTCAGTCAATCAATTCGGCACCTGTTCACTGGGAAAGAGGAGAACTGAGCATGAAAAGCAACTGGAGCAGACTAGCGATGGACTTAACTCACTACAATGGTGAGAATTTTCTAATGCTTATTGATTGCGGTCCCTCTAGGTTTGCGGTATGCCGGCCACTGCACTGACAAGATGAGAGCACCGTCATTCAACTGTTGGAGAATGTTTTCCTGGAGCGAGGCCCACCCATGGAAATACTGACCAACAACGATACTGTATTCACCAAATTCTCTGATTTTAAAATGCAGAAAAAGAATTGCCAGTCACTGAAATGTGACCTCATCATTTAAAGAGACCTGGAATAAAAACTAGTTATCCCAAAAGAAATAGAATTATATCTTTATAATGAGAAAACATTAAACTTTCTTTACATACTTTTTTATCAAAATAATTTTAAAAATGCTTGAGATATTGCCAGTTAAACTTGAAGAAAATTTCACTATTTTGACCCATTTTCACAGCATAAACTAACCAGTTTGGGATACCTATTTATACAGTCCAACCTCTTTATTCCAGCACTTCATAGATCAACCGCCAATAGTTCTTTTAGGGCAGCATCAAACATTTACAACTTTTCACAGCAGCAGAGTGTTTTGGTGATACAGTCTTGCTCATTTCATATGTAGCTGTATTCAAGATACTAAGTATGTATTATTTTTTTTGTTTTAGACATTTTCTTTAGCCTTTGTATTGTGTGAAACAATAGAAACCTTCTTTGAAAGCCTTAATGATTGTTTTATTTCCTGTTTTAAGCTTTGTTCTACCCTTGATAACACAGCAATATATATGTGTAAGAAGCTGGCAAGACTGTTTATATAGTTGTTTTTTCCTTTTAGTAGCGATTTCTGTCATCCATCAGTGGTCTTGTCCTAAGGGTTCCAGTTTAAAGAGGTTGGACTGTACAGAAATTTTTGAGGTGTAAGAGAACTTCTACTCTAACCTAACTTTTCTCTGCCCTTGGGTACTCAGGTAATTTTATAAACAAGCTTACCAGTTTCCTTCTAATAAGTCACACTTGCCATTTTTGTCTCTAACCTGTAAAGAGACAATATTTCACAGAGTATGTTATCTCAGAAGATCCTCTAAAAACTAACTAAGCTTTAAAGATTCTTTCAAGTAAATGGTTCAGAACCTACTCACTTTGTACCAGTCGGGACGCATTTCAGCTGCAAAAGAGGCATCCTTATTTGCATAGGAATATTCTTTCATTTTTATGTAACATTCACATCGATTGCCATGTAGATGAGCACTGAGGTCCGAGTTTTCTTTTTGGCGGCCCAACATGGCAATACCAACTGTGTAGTAAGAACAGGCAATTTCATATTTTTTGTTCTTGAAATATTTATTGCCAATCTCTTTAAGTAAATTACTGTCAAGTTCCAAATCTGTGGGAAAAAAAAAAAAGAAAACTTTAAAAAATTCTCAAAATATAATACACAATGTAGAGTATTGTGTATTTTTTTACTGTATTATCTGTAACCTTTTACTGCATTAATTACTTGGGCTGCTTTACTTCACTCCCAAAACATTGGGCTTGGTTCAAAATGAATCACTGTGTCAAATCAGCAAGGGTTTGACCATCACTGGCACAGATGTTTTTCAAACTTGGTACACTAATAGAGTTTCATGATAGAAATTGAATGGTACCTATTTTACATCTCTAGGTCAAAGGGTTCCCGAGATATGACCCTTTGTCCTTCAAAGAGCTGAATTTTGGAAAATAGTTAAAAGTTTAAATATCAATATTTCAGTTATTTTACCCATAAACCTAAATTATATACCATTTCAAAGTATTTGGATAGATCTAAAAGATGATTTATTTATTTTTTTGTTTAAAGGTCAAATAAGATAATTTGACCATGACCATTGGTCTTTAACTTCTCAAAAAAATGTATCTTTAATTTTTTTTTTTAAATTTGACTGCTTTATGGCAAAATATCTCAAGAATTCTGTGGTGGAATTTTGACTGTGACCTGAGTTACATGGTATTTACAGAGTTGGGCCAAATTCAAAATGGCAGATTTGTGCATCGATGTGCTAACATTTTTATCTTTCAATATGGTAAAGTTGTATATCTTTAGAAAGCTCTTTGAATGCTGATTGATATTCACATTAAAACTATGATCATAAAGCCAACAAAATTTGAGCTATTTATCGGTTAAATGTTGGCCAATTTGGTGGGAAATAAACAACCTTATTTTTGGTTTTGTTTATATTTTTATTATACAACAAATAGATTTTTATATGAAAAAGTGCCATAATGAAAATAATTATTTAAAAAAGTGTCATGAATTAATGTTAAGATAACAAAATAATATGAAAATATGCATCAAATGATGTTAATAGTTAACAAATTTTTATTGATATTGTACACTAAATGCACAAAAATTTTCAGTATTTTTATATTTAATAAATTAAGTTAATATATTTAATATTAAAATATTCCTAAAATTTACAAAGAGATTAACAAGCAAATTTATTCTTGTTGGAATACATGTTTAAATAGAAAATAAAAATCTGGATATGCAAACCTCTTACATTTTCACTCATATTTTTTATGATGACCGATCTTGATTATATTTAAGGTTATTTCAATGCAAGTCTTATTAATTAACCCATAGCTGGTAGGGGAAGAAGAAGTGGATTCATACCTTTTACCAAAGGTTATTTGAGCATAAGTGAACATAACAAACCCAACTGTAATTGGAACTCTCTGATTAAAAATTCTAAGTCATTATACATTATACTACCCACACACCCAAGCTTATAGCACTTGGTATTCCTAAGTGATTACACAATGAGGTACTGATCAGGTTCAATCTTGCTTCACTTCAGAGATCATATCGGAACTGGTGTTTCAACATATGGAGATAAATAATAGAAATATCGAAATTTAAATTTTTCAGACTTCACCTGGATTTTCATTTATCAATTTAAAAAGAGCTTAACTTGCGTATGTGTGTGTTTGTACTCCATATATTAAAAGCCCCACTACTATTGTGACACTGAGGCCATGAGGTGGCTAAATGTTGATTTTGAGCAGAAAAGGGTTAAGCCCAAAATGGAATATAGGCTGAGAGAGAGAGAGAGAATGGAGACATTTTCCTTGGTAAAAATGGGAGTGTTTGGATTTCTCTCCTAAAGTTTATTTTTCTTATCTAGCGAGAGTCTAGCATGCAGATGAAAACAGATTTGAATTTTATCTCTTCCTTGAGAATTTAGGCAAACAAATATATTTTTGTTGATAAACATGAATTGGGAAATGAAAACAAGGAACGAACCAGCTGTGAGGGTCGAAGTTATGAAAAATTGATCAAGCAGGTAATCTGGTTTGTGTTTTTGTTAAGACTGATCAGCTCACAGATAGAGAACAATTTTATCTCTTTCTTGAAGAGGCAGGAGAATTAAGATTCATGATTACAATAAACTATGCCCTTTTGCTCACACAATTTGAAAATTAGATTTGTCACAAAGATAGTTAGGCTGGCCATAAAGATGGGCTGCAGAATAACAAGAAGGAAGGAGGAAGAGGGAGGATTTCATGCTGCCTGTGTGGAGTGACGGTGCAAAATGTGAAGTGAAGCAGGTTGGAGTTAGAGGAGGAGCAATCTCTGTAACTATTCCTGATAAGGTGGATGATTCTTTAAATTTGGAAAGTTGATAAAGAAACCAGAAATAGGGAACAAAGAACCCTTAGTAGAATTAATGTGAAAATTAAACCCACACTAGTTTTAGGTCAAAGTGCATATAAGCAGATGGCTTTGGGAGTTTGAGGAGTTGGGCTGAGAACCTGCAAAAAGAGCCTCTGGAATTCACATCAGATGCCCACCAGATTTCCTGATTCCAAAGAACTTTGAACCCAAATTACTAGATGAGGCATGATGTCACTATATAGACTGATACGAGAAGAGTTAATTTTTGTAGTATCATGAAATATATAAACCAATTGAAGAGTAACTCCATGAATCTTTTTCTTTTTTTTTTTTAGTGAAAATATTTTTCTTCCTTAATATAACACCTGCCACAGCTTGAACCAGCACTGCAATTACTATGACATTCAATCTTCCACTCTTCGGAGATCAAGAGCACAACATGAGCAGAGTTGGTGTGGACTGAAGCAGCCAGCAACCAGCATTGATCAGTGCAGAGTTAGTCCTCTAGTTAAAATGAGTGTAGGTGGCGACAGAAGGTGTTGTACTATTAATAGGGATGTGTTGTGACGTAATGGATATTGTCCTGGAATGAGAAATTGGGGAGTCAAATGCAACTCCCAGCTGAATTTGTTACATTCACTTATGTGCAGATGCACTTGGGAAAGGTATGAATTCATCTCTTCTCCCCCCAGCTATAGGTTAAATAGCAGGACTGACTGGGTCCTATAGCCTTGGTTGGCAACCAGTCTACTGCAGAAAGAAACAGCAACCTGCTATTGGTGAGAAGAATCTTTCTTTATTTTAAGAAATTAGTTTCTTTTAGAATAGACATAACAGAATTTTAATGAAATTTTGTATTGTCCCAAAAAAAAAAAACCTAACCAGTTCTTCCAACTTATTGCTCTATCATCCATATGATCATGGAGAATTATTAGATAGAATAGAAAATCAACTGTGGACATTTTTTTTTTGTTTTTTAAGAACAGCCTTTACACTAAGTCCTCATTTTACAACAGTCCCAACCTATGACAATTTGTGATTATGACACAATCTCCATTAATCTTGTTTTGACTTATGTCATTATGCAATAGAAGAATATGTAGTCATACATTTCTAGAATGAGAAATGTCATGTGGATCATTTCCTGGCTGTACAACGTATTGGATTGTTGGTAAGCAAGTGAGTGCTTATTAATGGAAAATCACAGTTATGTACTGACTTACATGGAAAATTGCATGACCATGCATTGTAGGAATGGAACTTTGTTGTAAGTCGAGGACTCCCATTGTATGGAAAGTTGTGAAAGAGTAAAATAAATAAATAAATAAATAATCATACTTGGTGTATATATCTGGAGCAAGGCTCCTGTCATTGTAAACTTTTCTGAAATGTAATCCAAAGCTTTTTTCCCAGAGTTGTCTGTAGCTTTAGGGTTTATGCCTTTTTGCAACAAAAGATGAACCACTCTGAAACACAATTCACTTGAAACATTTCCATGTTTCACAGCAGTGTGAAGAAGCATCTCATTTTCTTTGGTTGGTGTCAACGGATTTCTTTTGAGGACATACTCCAACACATCACATGACTCTGAGTTAAAAAGAAAATAAATGAAAAAGAAATATATAATTTAAAAAAAAATAATTATAAAAAAATATATAAATGTTGAAAGAATAAAAAGGGTTCAAAATGAAACTTAAAATGAAATTAACAAGAAAAAAATAATTTAAGTAAAGATTAAGATAAATTCTTTTACACGCTGTATCCCTTGATAGCATCACAACTTTCTGCCTTTTTTTTTTAGCTCTTAGCAATGTTTACTTTTTTACTGTTATTCAAGCCCCTGATCTGAAAATCCAGTTACACAAGCTTGTTAGACAGGTTATTTACTTATTTTTCCCTTCTGTCCCCTCTTGCATTCAATGTCCTGTGAGTGTAACATTTTCTGAGCTCCCTTATTATATATCCCAGAAATTTAAAATGTCTCTTTCCGATTCTAAGAATTTGTCCTTTTCGTTTGAATTTTCCTTCTTACTCATTTGTTTCATTAATTGTATGAGACATTCTGAAGGACTGCACCTTTATTGCCTCAAGATTTTTCTTCATCCGTGAGGAAATTATCCAACATTCACTGCCATATAGGAGAAGCGATATTAAATAATAATTCAGTACTCTTTTCTTTGTCTCTAATGAAATTTTCCTGTTTCTTAATACTTTGATTAGCTTTTGAAAGGCATCTTTAACTATTTCAATGCACCTTCATGTTTTTGTGGGGGGGGTACATTTTTCATCGTCTGTTAAAACACTTCAGATAGTTCTGTATTTGCTTATATTTTGACATTTCCAATTTGTAGAAAGAATAAAAAAAAGATAAAAAATACATTAAAAAATATTCTTTTTTTATGAAAAAATGTAAACAATAAAAAACTGATAAAAAAAAAAAATAATTAAAAATAAATGATCTTACCATATAATAAATCCATAGTATTTCAAAATTTTGTCTAACTTTTAATTTTGCCAGTGCAAGGAAGTTAAGTAGACTTACTCCCCTTGTACTGTCAACACCAGATGGCAGTGCCTCTGTTATGACAATAATGGACTTTAAATGAATAATGCAAAGAAATTTAGAAATGGTGGGGAGAAGAAGCAATCACAGGACATTGGTGTATGGATGTGCAAAAGAGTAAACTATAATAATTGGGTGAAAAACATTTAAAACACTCAAATATTATTAAAAGAATAAGAAGAATATTATTATCATAGTTATAGTACCACATTTTCCATTCTTATAGCACTAATTCTGACAGGGATCAATTTATCATTTGATAATAAAAGAAAACTGAACTTCCATGTTATATTCATTAGAACCTCATATTAATAGTAACAGGAGAACAAAGAAATTGATGGCAAATCAAAAGAAACACAAAAACTGACTAGTTTTCATTCCTCACTCCTCGGAGATCAATTGAGGACTTAAAAGGGAGTGTGGACAGTGATTAAAATATGTAAAAACTAATAAAGATGATTATATATATATATATATATATATATATATATATAGTATATATATATTAGGTAGCAATGTTTCATTAAATAATATACACAAGTTTTGTCTATTTAAGTAAGTTTCTTTCATATTGGATTTAAACATGTATCAATATGGTGATTTCTTTTCATCTTTCAATGATAATGATATTAAGCTTATCAGACAATATGAAAGGAACTTAAAATACAAAGACAAAACTTGTCTATATTATTTAATGAAACATGTCTGTTTGACTAATTTAACGTATTTATTTGTGTTCTAATTATTCTAACTTAATTTGTAACCCTGTTTGTTCGTTTATTTGGAAATTCCTATTTGAAAAATTAAAAAAAAAAAAAAATGTCTTTGACAGCGCGTGAAAGTACATCACCAGTATAGTTATGTTCTAGTTGGCCAAAAATCTTGCCAGATATAAAACCCCAATGTGGAATCGTTTAGCCGTCTCTTTCTCCCCGTTGTTTGTAATTTTATTGAAAGCAAGTACCCAAGCCTATGTTTTTTGGGAGTCCTGACCTCCTCTGCCGACAAGGCTGAATGTTTTGCTTGGAATTTTTCATTCAATTCAACGATTGACTCTTCCGGTGTACCCATACTCAATTTCCCTCTTAGAAGTGTGGCCTTTTTCGAGCGACTTGCACATAATGCCCAATACCAATGACGGGGTTATCTCTAATTTAGACCCCCACAAGGCTAGTGGTGGAGATGGGATACAAGCCATTGTCTTGAAGAAATGTGCGCCTGAACTGGCACCTGCCCTCTCCAAATTATGCAACTACTCCCTCAAGGAATCTTGTTTTCCAGACTGCTGGAAGTCCTCATCAATTGTTCCTGTCTTTAAGAACTCTGGCGACCCCTCCTCTAATTACCGTCCTATCAGTCTCCTAGCCCTTTTCAGCAAAGTCTTCGAATCTTTAATCAATGCCAAAGTGGTTAACCACCTTACATCCCATGATCTGCTCTCAGACAAGCAATATGGTTTCCGCTTTTTTGTTGACAAAACTAACCTGGCCATTAGTCTTGAAAAGGACCTCCTATTGGTTGTGAACTGGGGCAGTAATTGGCTGGTTAACTTTAACGCCTCAAAACAAAACTGCTCTCTATTAATGACCACAGAGATCCTTCCCTGCCACCCATTAGAATGTCCGACGCTCAACTTCCCGAAGTGCCTCTCTGCGGCTGCTCAGTCTTACGTTGTCTACTGACCTGAGATGGAACAAATACATTGAGTCAATTGCTTTGTCCACTGCAAGGAAAGTTGGCTTCCTGTGCTGCACCAGGAAATTTTTCTCCCCGGAATCGATCCTTCAAATCTACAAATCAACCATTCGCCCTTGCATGGAGTATTGCTGCCATATATGGTCTAGAGCCCCTTCTGTTTGCCTCAGGGTTCTTGATAAGATTCAGAGACGGATATGCAATATAATTAGCCCTGATCTGGCATCTCGTCTGCAGTTGCTCTCTCACAGACATGCCGTCACCTATACTTTCATGGTAATTGCTCCGATGAGCTGCTTTCGCTGGTTCCCAGACTTTGTGAATTCAAGCGTCCTACGCGGCTGGCATCCCGCTCTCACCCTTTCACTGTTGAAACTGTTAAATGTAGCCGCCTCTTCTACTCCAAAAGCTCCATGCCTCGCACATCTTGCCTGTGGAACTCCCTTCCCTACTCCTGTTTCCCTGATAGCTTTAATCTCCAACTATTCAAATGTAATGTCCATTGACATCTCCAGTTGCCTTGATCTATCCACTATACTTATCCTCATCCTCTCCTGTATCATTCCTATCTACTCTTGCTCCAAATCCTCTGTAACCCCTTGCGTGCTAGTGGCTTCCTGCCTTGCTAGAGGTGAAATGCTAAAAAATATATATATATATATATATATATATATATATATATATATTATATAAAAGGCAATTTCAAAATAATAGATTCCAGACTAATAAATCCCTCCAAATCAGAGTTAGGAATAATTTCTAAAAACATTCTAAAAAGAATAAACATATCTATATTAGAAATATACCTCTTAAACCTATGGAAAGATTCGTCTAATGCCATTAACTGGTTCCAAAATCTAAAATCTAAAAATAAAGCCACTTTTATCCAATTAGATATCAACTTCTACCCCTCCATTTCTAAAGATTTATTAGAAAATAGCTTAAATTTTGCTAAAAATGATACTAAAATTACTGACAAAGAAATAAAAATCATAATGGATTCTAGACAGTCTATAGTAAGACTTAATGACACTACTTGGATTAAAAAAAAAAAAACAGAGACAATTTCGGTGTCCCAATGGGAGCATTTGATTCAGCTCTTATTTAAACCTTAAAGTGGTCTGTTTTTCTTATATATATATATATATATACACACACACACACAAATAGTGTAGTGCTGCAGCTCAGACCAGACACGGGGTTTATTTTTAGCCTATGGCTTAAAAAATAATTCTTTGGCCAGATCATTACCCACGAAATGGAACCATCAAACCAGATTGTAGCAGTAGGCAAATTTTATCTGGTTGTGACCTACTGCCGGAGAGGAGCAAAGACACAGTCGAAGCAAATGGCTTCTTGTCCATTTCTGACTTTTGTTGCTAGGAACCACTGTCTTAAAGAGATAATGCCTGTCTTGTCATCTTTACCTAAAAAAATTATCATTCATCATGAACTACTTTGTCAAAGCAATTTCTGTGATGTGTTGCAGATGGGTCCTTAGCAAGATATCAGCTGATATCACTACAGTGTGTGTGTGTATATAAGCATACTACAGGCTAAACTTCAAAGCCACTCCAGTTTACAGAGGAAAAGCTATAAAGACAATGCATATCGTCTAATATTTTCATGGGAAAGTCTGAATCTGTCTGAGTGAAGGAAGAGGAATGAAAATTGATTGGATTTTGTTGTTTTCTTTTTGCCATATATGTTATTTAGAATTTTTCTTCTTTCCCCTTCCTCTTAGTTTAAAAAAAAAAAAGAAAAAAAAAAGTCTGTTTTAAAGGTTACAATCCTATTATAATTGTGCTTGTACCTCCCTTCGTTAATTCACACGACCATTACATCCTGCTAATATCTCATAAATAAGGTACTACTCTATTTTAATTGCATTTAAAGAGGGGAAAAGACGTTACTTGATTTCAGTGAGAAAATGAAAGAAAGAAGATAGAAGTGTTTAATGTCTGTTTCAGTGAAATAGAAAAAGCTGTTAATTTCAAATCTTTTCATTTGTACCCCCTTACTTCTTAAAATAATGACCAGCATTCATAGTTATGATTGTTATTGCAATATTTTGATAAAGTTGTTAAACTCAAATATTTAACAACGTGATGGGGAAATTCTATGAATATTTTATTGTCATAGAACTCGCCATGAGTTTACAGGACATATTAAAAAGGTAAGAAGAGCAGAGTAAAACTATGAGTAACCTGCCTAATGAGCATGTGTAAATGGATGGCAGAACTGGGATGGCTAATAAGAGAACAAATTGAACTATATATGATAGGGAGTTGTGGAGAGTCATGATCATGCACATACTGAAGAGGCATGG